GGATGGAATTGAACAATTGGAAAAACCAAAAATTGTAAAATGGAAAAGTTATAGAATCGTCAAAATTGTATAGCTGAAAAATTATAACATTGACATACCTATATCGAAAAATTGGAAAGTTAAATATCGAGAAATTGAAATATTGAAAATCGAATAAATGAAAAAGTTTTAGAATCTAATAAATAAAAAATGGAAAAATTTTAAAACAGTAAAATGAAAAAGTGAAGAATTTTAAAAATTATTATTACATATTTAAAATGAAAACTTGAAAAATTGCAAATTTAAAATTGAAAAAACAAAAAATTAAAAACCCAAAGTTTGGACAACCGAAAAACTGCAAATCGAAAAATCCAAGAATTCAAAAATTTCACACTAAACAAAGAAAAATTATAAAATCGGAGCACCGAAAAATTGAAGAAATAAAGGACTGAAAAATTAACAATTGAAAATTCGTGAAATTGCAAATCTAAAAATTGAAACATTCAAAAGTTGGAAAATTGAAACACTGATAAAACGAGAATTTGCAAAATCGAAAAAGTGGAAAATCGAAGACCTAAAAAAATGAAAAATTGAACATTGAAAAGCTGAAAATCGAGAAACTTAAATATCGAAAGAAATTAGTGGATCGAAAAATTGAAAAAATACAAAACGGAAGTGAACAATTGGAAAAACCAAAAATTGTAAAATGGAAAAGTTATCGTCAAAATTATATAGTTGAAAAACTGTAACATTGATAGATCGAAGAGTTGATAAGTTAAAGATCGAGAAACTGAAAAACTGGAATTCGAAAAATTGAAAAATCGAATAAATGAAAAAGTAAAAAAAAGTAAGTGATGTATTAAGGGCTTCTAATAAACAAACACTTTTGAAAACAGAAAATTAATTTTCATTTTATAATAATTACATTCTAATTAAAATTTATATCTAAGAGCAACAAATAAAAATTATTTCAATACGGTACGTGGCCTATTATATTGAATTTTATGAGGAAACCGCTGTAAAATACTTACGAAGTCAAAGTCGTAAACGCACTATATCTTTGGTCGAACTTTACTGTTGTTTATATATCTATAAAATTCAGCGTTATAGCTGCTAGTTGATAGTGATTTTGTTAAAAAAAATCAAGTAAAAACCTACACAATACACGTAGTTTATGATTCCGTATTGAGTTTTTACCCGAAACGTCCAAATTTTTGAAAAAAAAAAATCAAAATCAAAACATTTTGCAATTTAATTTTGAATCTGCAAAACCGAATGCATTGAAATCTTGCAGATGTTTTAAAGTTATGATAAGCATGATAAATTTTTAATCAAAATATATTTATTTATTCCCTCTAAAAAATAGATGACGTCACCCCAAAATTTTGCTGAATAAATCCTATCTAAAATGTGCAAAATATGATCAGTCTATAATTGTAATTTATCATTGAATTCATATTTTTTACATTTGCTTATACAGGTGACCCAAAAAATTAATGAATCAGTCAGTTTATTATTGATCGAATTAATGGTCTTTATAACAATAAAATAATAATCAGGTAAGAATTATAATAATAACATTCATAATATTTTGTTTAATTGGGGCTTCTTAATAATTTTAGTCATCTGTTTTGAGTCGATAAACTCATTCAACACATGTCTACGTGACATTCTTCCGGTGTAAAATGTATTTGTTTTTAATTAGGTTATTACAAAAATACGATTTCGTCTTAGACTGATCATTTGTTGACACATATAATCTCGAGATTGTGCAAAAGTTATTCAAAAATTATATTTCCAGCATTGTGGTTTTTTCCATCTCGTGGCGTATTTTCATCGATTATCTAACTAATTAAAAGGTAAAACATTCATTGAAGCTTAATATAAATATTAAAAAGTCGCTCGAAAACATCTAAGGCAAAGCTCTTGTAAATAAAAAAAAATGAGCGACCTTAAACAATTAATATTTTGGGCTACAAATTTGGGAAAAATTTTTTTTCGTCTATAAAATATTACGGGAACGAGACAAACAAAATTAAACCAAAAAAAAAAATAAATAAATTTTTGACGATTTGGGAACTTCGTAAAAATTTGGAGCGACCTCTTAATTTTTTTTTTTTTAGCGCTCCTTTGGAGGAGAGTCTTAAAACATGATAAACTAACATATTTTCACAGGAGACTCAACACAAGAAAAATAGTCGTTTTTTTGCATCACCCTATTTTTATATGTATAAAAAGAAGATAAATATTTAATAATAAAACCAGTGATAAACATTCGGTGATTAATCTTTTTGTCATAATGGTTTAATAGCTTATACCTACATTCCGCCAAAATTAGAAAACCCGCGAAAAATTCAAAATTTGGGCTTGAACTATGATCGTCAACAAATTTGCGGCAGCGAAAAACCGGTATTGCAGATAAACATTCACATGAACGAAAACAATGAGAAAGAAAAACTCTACATGTGGGTGTGTTTATTTCGATTAAAGTTAGAATCCCCTGAATCTCGATGATAATGCAACGAGTATTATAATTACAAGGAGGGAAACAACCAAACTCAAATTATACCACACTATGAAATAAACACAATAGGCAAATAAGCAAAATCAAAATCAAAATAATCATTCAAGAATAAATGTTCAAATTCAGGCTGTAAGAAAATAACACATTACAAAATAAACGTAAAATACCCCTCCAGTGTGGAATCTACGATGATATTAATTTAACTGATGATAATTTTTAAGGGTCTTTTTCTCAAAATGAATCAATTTTTAAGATTTAATTTCTAATTAGCATCCCCCGACTTCCAAAATGACAGTTCATATTTTGTTTGACTTTGTTCTTAAACTTTTGTTAAGAAAAACCTAACCGTTTTGCTTTTCTCTGCATTCTAATCGAATTTTGCGCACCTACCATATTGTGAATTTTCCACGCAAAATCAGATGGATGGGTAAACTGCGCAAAGTAAAGTTGACTTATTGAAGATAGCGAAGTAAAACATCATGTTATCATATTTATCGGTGATAAAACATAATTGAATTTAAAATTTTTAATACTGCCAGTTTTTACGCAAAGTCGTATACATACACGAAAATGACGTTTCGAAGCTCTACGCCCTTACTAAATTGTAGTTCTAATTATACATATATGTACTATTAATTAGTGATTTTTTTTTAATTTAATGCTATGATGAAACTAAGAAGTGTTCTTAAATTTACAACAAAAATTTTAAAGTTTTATAAAATCACGTTCTAAGTCAAGGCAAGCAAAACATCGAAATGTCAACAGTGTTATCTGTGTATAACAAACATACTATAAATTTTTTTATATCGAATCACCATTCCTCTTTAATATTTATTTTTGTAAACATTACATTTTATTAATTTTGGTTATTCTAAAGTATTAATCATTGGAATAAATTAGTAAGGTACATTTTAAAGTTTAGGACACATCTTGTTGTGCAGTTTACCCCAGATTTCGGGATAATGTCGTAGTCGTCATGTTAATTTGATCAATCACGTCATCATCCGGAAACCCTTTAAAATGACGAAACAGTAGACTGTTAAATGTACCCATTTCTTAAAAGTTAATAAATAATCTCACTTGACTATAGTATACCTATTATTTATTTCTTTTTTACTGAAAGAGATTGTTGAATTTTATGAGATAATCAAGTTTTTTTTACAGTAGCTAAATTTAGTGCATGCCCCTGTAAAAAAAAAATGATTCCAACAAATGTAGTTACGTTCTAAATGTTATATTCTGCGCCAATCCAGTGCCTTAAAAAAATTCGGCCGTCTCACCGCGTTCCCCAACCCGGTGTGACAGTCTTTCTTGAGGTTGTTGGTGTGCTGGGGTTATTGTAAATACTGCGCTATAAGGTAATATAAAATTGATAAATGTGTATAATTTCATTCTATTTTATATTTTTGCAGATTACAAATTCTTCCCCGATCAAAAGGTGTACGTATATTGCCCGTACTGCTGTAGGAAGTTCGTCAATCGCTATAACTTGAAGGTACACATCCGAGACAAGCACGAAGACAGCCCCATGAACCTAGATTGCAGGATATGCGGTAAGGTTATGAGAAATAAAAGCTGTTTACGCGTCCATATGTATCATCACCGCAAGCAGCAACTGGAATCGGACTGTCCAGCTGTTCCAATCGTATAAGATTGCTATTAGGTTTTTGTTTTTGCTCATTCTAGTTATTGTTTTGTGTGTACAATAGGTTAGGGATGTTTGTTGTTTTTCCTTTTTATTTATTATGTTAGACTGTAATAGTGACCGGCCAGAAGTTAGTCACTATTGGAAGTATGTATCGATAGATACGATAGTTGAGTTTTAAAAAAATGTTTTCGTTATACGGTTTACCTATTTCCAGTGCAGCTTATTTAGAGGCAAGCGGACAGTCTCGACAGTTACAGTTATCTAGTTCTATATTTATTATTAACTGTAACAAAATTAAAATGTTCTAACAACTAGTATTGTGTCGATGTTTTGGTGAGCGATAGTCACAGGTTGAACTGAACAACTACCTCTAATATAACTCAGCTTTCACAAGTATTAAGTGCAGTACGAGGAAAAAGGTTACGGGAAACAACCTGTGCTAAACATCATTGTTAATATAGCTATTAGAAACAATAACATTCCATTTTGTTATGCTTTTATGTTTAAAACCAAATATCTGTTTTTTCTTTTTAATTTTTTAAATATTTATCCCAACTTTTACCATTAATGCTGCTACTTTAGTTTTTTGTTTTTACAATTATGGTTTTGTTGTTAACTATGTTTATTGTAAATATCGTACATTGTGATAAATTATAATATAGCACAATCACGCTGGGTATAAGAATTTGTCAATTTTCTTGTGTGCGTGTCAAACATTCCATGTTGTTAAAGGGATCATTTTTGTAACGTTTTACTTCTAAATAAAGATCAGAATTCTAGTTTACACATTTATCTTATCTACCCGAAAGGAAGTTGGGTTTTCCTGATGATTTGCAGGGAGTGTCTTTGTTGACACACCAGTATTTAACACACTTCACTAAAATGTGGTTCGACTTTGCAAGACAAGAGCGTTTTCCAACGCAATATCCCCCTAATGAAACGGCCGTTACGGTCGACGTTTTGGAAGCGGGATTCATTGCAGCTTTTATTATCCTTGTGATTGCGTTCTTCATTTCGATACCGACGTCGCTCATAAAACAGGTAAGTTTAACGAAAACTAGGTCGGCAAATGAAGCCTAAATTATTGCAGACGACGGCCCGATATGTAAGGATAACTCTTATGATGCTAATTGGTCTATTTCTTTTGCGTAAGTATGGTTTAAAAATGCACACCTCTAAAAAGACTACAATGTATAAAGTGTTCAGAAAATCGTTACATTGTGTCTCGAGTATTGAAAATATATTTGACAAGTTCGCAAGCATAGATCGGGTTTACTAGTACATGGGCGTGTTATCTCAAACTAACCCACTCCTGACCTTTACATGTATGAAGATAAACTGCTGATTTTCGGAACGTTTGTATATTGTTTAATAAACATTATTTCTGTACTGTTAACCGTACATTACTCAAGAAACTGCCTTTAATGTTTTTTTTTTTCACCAAAAAAATTGAATTCGTAGGTTCTAAAAGTGTTGTAGCAAAAAATTGCAAAAAAACAGATAAAAGACCTTTGAAATTCTGTTGTCAATAAGTTATACGCAATTTAGAAACAATTTTGAGTTGAGACGTTACTACAAAAGTTTCTTATAGTTTCATGGAAAGTCCGGTCCAAGGCTGTTTGAAATATATCATAGCAATAGTTAACGTTTAAAAATCGTATCCCCGTTTAACATGACTTAAAACCTTAATTTTAACAGTTTTTGAGACTTTCTTAAATGACTTGAAAAATAGCCATTCTAATGAAATTTATTTTTTAATTCTTAATTGTTAATTTTCTTGAGTAGGTAATAAAATTTCTGCATCTGCTACCAGTTAGTTTTTTCAAAGTCGTCTCAGTTTCATTACTTATGTAAAGGGCCCACGAAATGAATAATTTTTACTTCGCGCATTCTAGAAAACTGTTGTAATATATCCGATTGGTAAAGGGCCAATTTCATGTTTACTTAACCTTTCACAGCTACTAGAATATGAAAAAGTAGGTCCCGTTTCCATCTGTCTATCGTCTGTTGCACGTCTGTTGGCAGTTTTATTAAACAGATAAACTCGGAAATTGTTTGGCCGAATGTTGTAAAATTTTATAAATATTCTACAAACTGTCAAATGCTAACCCAAATTTATCTAGTCATCCGACCCGAAAATTTGATGGCGTCATGTCAAGATTTTGCAGTTGATCCTGTATAAAATGTACAAAATGATACGCGATTTTTAACTTTATGCAAGTAGGTTTTTGAAAAAAAAATTAAAATTTTCACATGCGTTTCAAAAAGTAATTTCTCAACAAACTATGTTATTATTATTTTATTTTTTTTTTTAGAAAATTAATCCGAGTACTTATTTATTTTGAAGTGAATAATATCTATGTAAAGGACACGACAAACAACAACTCATTATAGTATTAACCCTTAAAATTATATGCAAGGCTTGCTGACTACTGTGCGCAACTGTCCCTTACCTCTTAGGTAGTTTAAGCGCAACTGTCCGCTGGGATTAGGATCACCTGCCGATTTTTTTAACCATGGCGCGTAACTGACCCATGCCCTGTCAAGGAGATGTTGCTAAGTGCTTTATTAAGTGCGTGATTAACTTATTCTCCAAGCTCATTTTCCAATGCGCCTATTTTGTTGCGACTTATTTCACTTTAAAATGAGTCAATTGATAATCAAGTAGATATAAATTAAATTTGTTTCATTGTTGCGCTTTAGTACTTTTTTAATTCGTTATATAGAATAAAAAATTAATGAATTAGTTAATTTAATTGATTAAATAAAACGTGGTTTATCTAATTTTCCTAAAATTCACAGTATGAGCATAAGCTAAGGTATTTTAATCGCGTTCATTGGGTGATTTGGTACATCCGTGTTTTCTCTACGTTTCGAGACCCCTAGAATACGAAAAAAGTGGGATTGCGTCAATTTTTATTCTACAGATAATCTCCGAAACTACTGGACCCATTGGCGTCAAATTTTGTATGTATAGTAGGAATAGATAGTACAACCCTAACCAAAATTTAGCTGATAATCCCTACCAACAATTTGATGACATCCGCTCCGTATATTGCGTAATTAACATTGTCCGAATTTTATTAAATAATATACTCCTGTGCTAGTGGTTTACGAATCTACCTTGATTTTGTTTAAAATTATGATTATTATATTTGGTTATTGTTTAATCCGCCTTGTTCTTTAGACACATACTACGAAGCAGTATAACAGCTAATATAAAATCCGGGGATGGAAGCTAGTGGGCGACAGCCCTTTTTCATTAAAATCAAGAACGGCAGTAATGTCGCGCCTACCTATATTTAATAATAATAAAATAATAATTATAATAACAGCTTGCCCAAAGTTATATTCGGCCCGTTTTGTTCCATTGTAACTTAATTAATGAAATTAGCCGACTCCTCTATTTTTAGGAGACAAAATTAACTATTTTAAATGGTATTTTCTTTTAGCGCAGATGCTTGTTATCGGAACATGCTAATAATCGAATTATTTCGAAGTATAAACATAAAGAGTTGAAATTACACTTGGACTAAGACATTGAGAAAATATGTATTTCCGTTGGTTATTTGTTTAAAATATATTTCAAATTGTGATAACTCAAACATCCCGCTTTAAATTGACAAATTGAAAAAAAAAATTGAAAGCCCGCAAAAAATTCAAAATTTGGCCTTGGCTGTGATCGTCTAACAAAATGGAACCCTACGTTGTGTTTTTGAAAAATGGCAGGATGCGTTCAGATGCAAATGGTGGACTCCAAGATTGGAAAAGTACGCTGAATAAAACACAAAATTTATGGAGGACACAAAATCATGTATTCCTCCACTGACAAAAAAAAAGAAAAAAAAAAGCGTGCGACTAAGTTAATGCTCAGCTACAAAAAAAAACTTGCCTAACTTGGAATCAAATCAAATTAAACGTTCTGAATCAATGCAAATATTTGAACATCACAAATTTAATACAAACAAAGAAAAATTTGAATTAAAGTAACTGGATGTAAATACACATGTTATAACGAACGTGTGGCGGCAAATTTAAAATTATGGCAATCAACAAGAGAACAAAATTGGAGTTTGGGGCTCCTGGTTGTGGCTGTTCTCCCGCCACAGCGGTGATTCTACTCTATAGCAAGCATGCCGCCCAGCACGAAGAAACGTGCCGCGCTTGCAGGCCGTTACGGTCGCAAACTCGTGGTTGGAAATCCCGGCTATTGGAACAAGCTGCGAGCATCACGTAATCCAGACCGCTCCCCTGACTGCTATTCTAAGTCTGCGTCTTTTGTGCAGATGGCGCCAGCTCGACTAGGAACCGCGCCCTCCGCTTCTGCTACGTGTTTCTGTGTTATTTACCTCAATTCCATTTAAATGTTCAATTTCTACAACTCTGATATTAAATTACAACCGGACAAGTGTTAAACTTCCACAAAAAAGCAATAAACATCATCAAATTTCGCCATATACGCTCGTGAAATTTTAAACAACAAAGAATTCTTATCTGAGATTGAGATTGGACATCAGACAATTTATATGGAAAATATTTACGTGAAAAAAACTAGCAAAGATTTATAAAACAAAGAATGATCTGGGGTGAAGTAACACTTGTGCAGACAAAAACATTACGTGAGGTTAGGAACCGCAAAGCATGAAAATTTACGTTGAATTTAAATTATACATACAACAAAGAAAATTACTGAAGTTAAAATTGTGAAATAGACAAAAATTGCATGAGGTGAAAAATTGCAAAGCAGCTAACAAAATTACGCAAGATTAATATTTTATGTCCATTCAAGTTATTGGTTCATGTTTAAAAGTGAAGTTATTCATCTGCATTGAGGGTCGTTGTTTTACATTCCCCCAAGCAACTACATAAAAAACCATAGCAGACAATCTGTAGGTCAAAAATGGCGTCGGACAAACGCCTCGTTCCCAAAAATAGGCGTCAAAAATATGCGATCCAGAAATGCGATTCATCCTGTGGTGTTGTGCAAATAATGGTCTAAATCAAAGTAATAAAATGCATGTTCCACATGACCCACAATGTTCATTATTTGTTCAACGAGATTTTACAGTTCAAACATGTGCTCGGCGTGAAAATACCGCTGCCAGAACAAAGAATTTACCTGATGTTAAATTATGCCACACTTTATCAAAGATTCAAACAAATAATTTACATGATGTGAAATTATGCCATGATCCAAGTGACTGGTTACGTAAAAAAATGTCTCTAAAGGGAAACATTTTAATCCCCCCGTACCTCAGTCCACAATATTATGATTTCTATCGTACTTTCACGGTCTTTTTCCCCGAGTGGGACAACGTTAGGTTAAGTTAACTGCCGTAAATGAACTATTAGCAATCTTGTGTGAGGAATTAAGAAGTGTTATAATGTAACACTTAAGTATAAGCATCCAGAAACCTTATCTATAACTTGATACACAAAGGAAGAGTCCTAACTAAGTGAATTTCGTGAAATCTCTTAGCAAGTGTTTTATCTAAATAATCTCCTAACTGTTAAATTGTGTTAGAACTTGTTAACGATGAAAATCCTAACATGAACTGTGAATTTACAAACAATGAAACAAATTTACACTGCGTGTTGGGGAAACTGTGGCGTCGTCATCGCTACGATTAATTTTCGTTAAACAAAGGCGTCCCCATTTTTTCAAATCTGGTCACGACACACTACCTTGATTTTGTTTATTAATATTATTTCATCCATCTTGTTCTTTGGACACATACCAGGAAACAATATAAAAGCCAATGTAGCTCATTGGTAGCTCACTCGCCTCGCAGATCCAAAGTCCGCGAATTCAATCTTTTTTTGCTAAAATCAAGAACGGTTCACTCCATTGCCTCGAAACTGTAAGAATACAGTAATGTCGCACCTACCTATATTTAATAATAATAAAATAATAATTATCATAATAACAGCTCGCTCAAAATTATATTCGGCTCATTTTGTTACATTGTAACTTAATTAATTGAATTAACTGTCTTGTCTGTTTTTAGGAGACAAAATTAACTAAATGGCATTTTCCTTTAGCGCAGATGCTTGTTATCCGAATGTGCTCATAGTCGAATTATTTCTAAGTATAAACATAAAAAAAATCAAATGTTTTCAGAGGAGCTGGATTTTAAGGGCGAGGGAAATCTATCTAAATAACCTTCGACCTTTTTTTTCATGTTTTTTCCATCACCCCAAGTTACGAAAAAATAGCTCTTCCGTTTCCGTCTGTCTCTGTCGATTTTTATTAGGCAGATAATCTCCGAAATTACTGAACCAATTATTGTCAATGAATAATTTTCAACACCAAAAAACAAGACAATATTTAAAGTAATTGATAGGAATATCGTGTAGGTGATAAAACGATAACCAAAATTTAAATAGTCATACCTACCAACATTGTGGTGACGTCACATCAAATTTTTCGTGATAAATATGTATCTACCATTTCAATTTTATAAAATAATATACCCCTGTATTACTGGTTTATGAATCCGCCTTGAGTTTTTTCCTAGGCATCCAGATTTTCACAAAAAAAAAGTCCAAATTGAATATCAATAATATGTATGTATAAGCGGAACGCTTACAATTCCGGTGACATCGGTTAGCGTGTCCTGTTAGCAACGCGGAGGTTGTGGGTTCGATAATGCGGCTTTTTTTTCTTACATTGTGCCTGGTACGTATTATCTCTATTTTTTTAAGTTATACAAAGTGATTGATAAAAGGCGTACTAACTCGATGACACGTTCTTAAGAACTGTTTATTGAGCAAAGAAAAGATAATTTTAAAAATCCCTGCACCTAAATGTAGTTGACAAAGTCAAAGTTTATTTTTTCTCTTAAATGTTTGACCACATTTTAATTCACTACTTAGTGTTGGGTACATGTATGAAATCGATCGAACTTCCGTTACTCAAAATAATTTTGCTCTATCCATAGTTCTATTCATTTTATAATGTTACAAAAAATTTAAGTACTGTCCAGAATGATATCATTGAATAATGTAACGTTCTTCCGAATTTCAGTCGTTTATTTCCATCTCTACTTTTAAAGTTTGTGGATAAGAATTCCCGAAACAAATTAACTTTGAATCATAAATTGTACAATTTATCTTAACCGTTACATCTAGTAAAAAGGATGAAGAGACAAATTTTAAACTACTCCCAAAATTTCAAAGCAATTAGTTCCATAGTGGTTATGGAAATTATGTATGTACCAGATGGATAAAAAAACGAGTAATTATAACAATTTCGTGCTAATAATACGAGCTTTATCCAGTGGGGAATTTCGGCCAAGAATGGGAAGTCGGCCACATCCGCTCTCGCACTCCGTATAAAGCCGGCTCAGGCGCCGAAATCAACGCGTCCATAGGAGTAAAAATCGGCCTCCGAAGCGTGAACGTCACCCTCAAGGCGACAGAAATCCCTGCCATCCTCCAACACGAAAAAATCGACTACAACGAAAGATTCGAGTGGACGTGGGACCAGGGTCGCTTCGGTTTTGGTCCATTTGCTGGCCACCTTCAACAGGAATTTCGCGCCGCTCAATACCGGGGACTCCCGACACCTATTTTGTGGGTCGTAGATTATTTCGTCATAGATGGGGAAGGTTTTAGGTTTGGAAGGTTCTACAGAACTGCTGGGTGGTACTGCCATGTGGCTTTGTGGTGTGCCTTCGCCTGCTGGTTGTTGTCTTTGATCCTCTTCAGATCCGTTATTTTATATGGAGCTTACTGCATAGGAATCTGCGGGCTCTTGCAGTTGTTGGCAAATTTATTGTGGTTGGTCATCCGAAATCCAAATCCGCTGCTAATTCCGTTCGAAGATGCGACAATTAAAACTACGTTTGGGGCTAGTTATTGGTTGACGTTTTCATCAGGTGTGGAGGTTTTTTGGAGGAGTTGAATTAAAGTTTGCTGTATTTGTCTCTATTGTAGGAATTATATGCCTCGTTGTAGCCACTGCAGTTATATTAATCGACTCGAAGTTTAATACGTACCTTTATACCTTCTTTGGTGTTGATCCACTGAACAGCTATGATGAAGTAGTCTACTTAAGTATGGTCAAAATTGTAAAATTTTTTTGTCTAATCGGTGATTTTGTAGCCAAAAATGAAGAACTGCAGCTGCGACAGAAGAAAAGTACCAATGATATGCCTCTAGTGGAAATGACACCGTCGTCAACGCAAATGCAGGAAGAAGAAGATGCCGAGTATGTTCCATATTATGTTAAACGGAAGACAACAGCTTTTGCACCTCCGGTCATTAGAAGCAACAAGCCCAAACATCTGATGAATATGCATTAAAATTCTGTTTTATCTAAAGATTAATAAAAACTCGAATTTTTTTTAGAAATATTTAACATTTTTCTACACAGGAATTTAAAAGTTTTTGGAAAGAGAGGTTCTACCTATTATCCGTTCACGATCTTTGTATAGTAGGGTTGGCCATGAAAATCAAGTGAGTTTGTTGGTATTCGATGCAGAAGAATAAAAATTCCCTGAACTTTTTTCGTTAGGTTATGTTTTATTAAATAAAGGTTAAAAAATATGCCAGAAATATAAACATTGTTGCCCATACTTTCAATCTTCAGTAGCAATGACCAAGTTAACGGTATCCATTTCTTAGAAAGCATAAAACTTTACGCTATTTAAAACAGTTATTCGGCTTTTTGTAAGTGTTTATTTCATATGCAAGGAACAAACACTAAAATTTCACTTAAACATTGTTTTTATATGAATGGGGGTTCTACAGACGACTATTGTCGCATGCCACATTTAGCATCTCATCTTTAATTCTCAATCATCAGTTCGTTTTGTTCGCCCACTCTTCTTAGAAATGGAAATTTCGACCTTTGTGAACAGTCTATTTTCATATCTTCCAAATTCTTTTTTCACTTTTCTAAGATTACTAAAAAGGTTGGTAAAAGACAACAATCTTGCTCTAGTGCTTTGATGGGACCATGAAGAGTTCCAAAAAAAAAATGAAAATGCTTAAAATTTGGTGCAAAGTAACACCGTGGATGATCTAACTAAAATTATACTTATTTTTGTTGTACGTCAGGTAGTTTTTCACACACTACCTTGGTAAATTTAGAACGAAAGATGCGTAAAAATATCACCCCCGACAAGCTACAATTCACTCCATTTCCATTCTTTCGCTATGAAAATCTGTATCATCACCGTCATTTTCAAATTCAGATTCTGAATCAGATTCACCTAGCGAAATAATGAAAGGAGGTATAGATTCGTACGAAATATTTCCCACATTTTTTTCCCGATCTGCCAAAATAAGTTTTTCACAATGTTTACAAAAATTTTGCCACATGCTTGGAGTACATTTAGAAAGCGCCTCAAGCCATAAATTCTCCACCCTATTTTTAATGAAGGTTGAGAATTTATCTGATTGTTGTAATAGTTCTTACAAAATCCCCACGCCATTTCAATTGGATCTTGACAGTGGTACGGAGGTAATCTAAGAACTTCATGGCCACTTTCTCTTAATGTCTCGTCTACCAAATATTTTTTTTCTATTGTTTCTGAAGGGTTTAATTAAATCCCACAACTGTTTCTTCGAAAATTTTTTGTCAAATTCAACACTATGTTTAAAGAGCCATTCCTACCTTTCACATTTTTTACTAGAAAAAGTGGGTGGTTTATCCAACCACGGCCAACTGTATTAATATATATGGCCATCCCAATTTGTATAAAAAGTTGATTTTTTGACGTTTCCAAAATCGTTAATCAGGCAACTACATCTGTTGAGTACAGTTATGAACTTGGTTGGCAAATAATTGTCAAAATGACGTTTTAAAATATTACGTTTTTTTGAAAGTGTAGATAATGGCACAAGAACATTAATGATATTACTCCTACTATTTAGTTTTGAAATAAGATGGATATATTTTTACAAAATGAAAATTATTTAACAAAAAGGAAGGTAGATATTCATAATCTTAAAACTTTTCTGCTGGTAGGTTTGTTACAGATCGTTATTTTCTTCGACCAGTCTTTTGGTTCCAAACAAATATTATCAATAACTGGTTTCACTGTTGCTCGAATAATTATATCATATACTCTGGATTCATGTTCCAAGCAACAAAATAATGGATTTTGGTCCAAAGAAGGATGGAGCAGATTACATATTTGTTGACATGTCTTTTTAGAGTTTAAAAAGGGCAACATTTTTTTGAGTTACGTCAGCCACTTCCTGCACAATGCCTACGGAATATGCATTGGGATAGGTTAATCCACCTCGATCCTGTAACAGGATGAGTCTTAATAGCGGACCAGGAACCTCTTTGAACAACAGCGGTGCAAGGCAGCGATCGCAATGAAATTTGTGGTCTAATTTCTTTAAAGTGAAGCCAGGCAAAAAGGCCACAGATGCCGATGAAATGTTTGCACAGGGTTCAATTAATTTACTAAGGTTTTGAATCTTTGTTCTTAATTCCAAAGGTACATCAAAATTTTCTTTGTCTTGTTTTGTATCATGGTCCAAAACCGAGAATTTTGCAGTAGGTACTGACAAAGTCTATATTGGAAACATTAGATGATTTGGAACATTTAACAATTCCGCAGCGGAGGATCTGACGCATTGCATATTCTGCAGCTCTGGCATCCGTTGCATCATTGGAGCCTCCTTTTAATCTCACGTGTGAGAACGTTGCTTCCACCGCATCGAAGCTAAAGGAACGCGTAAGAACATAGTAAAAGCCTGCTTGTTCTAACAAAAACTTAACACACAAATATGTACTTCTGGCAATAAATTTTAAAGCATGTGCAGTCTCTTGAGTGAAACCACGAAAACCGGTGCTAGCAGAACTGATGGTTTTACAGGTAGCCCTTTCTGCAATTCATAGTTTTGCGACTCGTTACAGATAACTTGAATCTAAATGTTGTGCTTTTTAAAAAACTTTCTAATACCACCGGGCCTCCAAAAAATTGTATCGGCCACCCTATCTTGAAATATTTGTCTTTTTTCCTAAGTTTTGATTTCTGCCATGTTGTAAAAAATGTACGAAACCAGTTCTGGAATCATGATATGCTGTCACTACAAGGTACTATTACATCTAAATTTTTGAAAAAAATATATGAATTGCAGATCAAAAGGAGTCTCCAATGATGCAACGGATGCCAGAGCTGCAGAATATGCAATGCGTCAGATCCTTTGCTGCGGAATTGTTAAATGTTCCAAATCATCTAATGTTTCCAATATAGACTTTGTCAGTACTGCAAAATTCTCGGTTTTGGATCATGATATAAAACAAGACAAAGAAAATTTTGTTGCTTAGAACATAAATCAAGAGTTTGTGATAGTGATATAATTATTCGAGCAACAGTAAAACCAGTTATTGATAATATTTGTTTGGAACAAACAGACTGGTTGAAGAGCATAACGATCTGTAACAAACCTACCAGCAGAAAAGTTTTAAAATTATGAATATGTACCTTCCTTTTTGTTAAATAATTTTCGTTTTGTAAAAATATATCTATCTTAATTTAACACTAAATAGTAGGAGTAATATCATTAATGTTCTTGTGCCATTATCTACACTTTCAGAAAAACGTGATATTTTAAAACGTCATTTTGACAATTATTTGCCAACCAAGTTCATAACTGTACTCAGTAGATGTCGTTGCCTGATTAACGATTTTGGAAACGTCAAAGAATCAACTTTTTATACGAATTGGGATGGCCATATGTATTAATACAGTTGGCCGTGATCCAACTGAACCGAATGATACGGTGCATTGTCTAAAACCACCACACATTTTTGGTCCAACTTTGCCAAAGCAAGAATGAGCTGATTAACCACCCAATTTTGAAAAATTATCCCGTCCCTCGTTTTATGATAGCCTCTATCGTTATTTTTTGAATTTAAAAAATTGTTACAACCATCCAAGAACCCCGTTGAACAATCCGCGTGGAGAATAGTAAACCTTGATCCTTCACTTTTAATTTTGGTGGGATTGCTTTTTAGATCAGTATCGTGCACCAGCGACGAAAGGACGAACCATTGATAGATCCATGTTTCATCCAAATACACGAAAGTCAAATTTTCACAAAAATTTAGAAACTGTAAATATGTTCTCAAAAAACTAATTTTGGCTGCGACGACGGTTTTGTTCACATAGAATTTTTGCGACCATTTACTTCTCTGTGTTTATAACCCATTGACTTAAGAATTTTGTATAATGTGGTTCGCCCCCCTTTAAATTCCAAGTGTTCCCTACAATTTGCCAAAAGAGTATATACAGTGAAATATTGTTTTTTTTCATTGAGTTGCCAAATTTGTCGTTGCAGGTCTTTCCGAAACATATAATTTGTAAATAAATCCGTTGGTTTTCGCTTGTAAGATAGTGATGTTTTTAAATTTTGGTCCCCTGTTGATAAAATTTTCGCCACAGTTGATGTTCCCACCTATGAGAAAAAAATTAAAGAATATTTTCCAGCGTATTTTTACATTACAGAAAATATGTTCGAGACCCTCATAGTTACTTCTTCGAAAGAAAGATCGGTCCTTTTTATTGCAATTTTTTGTTGCAGTAAAACTATTTTAGGCATTTTCGTTTTAAATAATGTCGCAATGATCTGTGAATCTGTCAAAATGACAAATTATCTATGCTGACAAAATTAAAACATTTGTCTGCTTGATTAAAAAATTGCGTCTAATAATTCTGATCTAAATTTAATGAAACTGGAAGCGTTAAAGAACGTTCAAAACCTGGCAGGCCAAAAACTAGTATTCGCTAAGATACCTAAGACTGATTGTAGCAAATGACATACCTTTTAAAAAAGTAGAGGGTGAGTGGGCGGGGCTTGTACTTGCTAAGATAAAACTGAACAATATTAAGAGTAGTGACTGAAATGAAGAGAAGGTGGGTGGGTGGGGCTATTATTTAATTATAAAAAACTCTGTAGGAAAAAGTCAAACTTAGCCCCGCCCAACCACCCGTTCTCTCATTTTTACTTCCCGAGCGTCAGCTAAGGAAGTATAGTAATCGAGTTCATCGGATGAATTGTTACTTTTATATTTTCTCGGCGTTTCATGACCCCTACGGTACGAAAAAAGTAGTCTCCCGTTTCTGTCTGTGTCTATCCATTTTTATTAGACACGTAATCTCCGCAACTGCTGGACCGATTGTTGTCTAATTTTGTATGTATGTTAGAAATATCATGTAGATGGTTAAATTCTAACCAAAATTTGGCTAATCATTCCCACCAATAATTTCATGACGTCATCCCAATGAACCGTATTTTAAAATGAGTTGAATGTTATACAAAAATATACTCCTACAAGTCCTACACTTGTAGTATACCAATCCGCTTTCAGGTTTATCGCTTAAGGTTCAAATTTTCGCAAAAACAATTGTATGATATAATAACGATATCTTTGTTTTTTTTTTTTTGTTAATATACAGATTTTTCTTTCAACAACAGGATAGTTAAACATGTTGTCAGTTTCTTGTTGGGAAAAGAAGACTTCGCTTATAAAGAAAAAATGGACCAAATAGAAGCCCCGCCCACCCGCCCCTATTCAATTGTGATGAATATTTTATTCATCGTGAGCTGAAGGGTGGAATTTAGTTTGCAAAATCCTCATTTCTATACAAAAAATTATCATATGAAATAGAGTATGTTTTAAAAGGATAGAATTTTTTAGAGAAATATTAATATTAGGATTAAACTCCGACCTTCGGTTTGATTAGGAATGAAAAACTCATCACAATTCAAATCCGGGCGGGTGGGTGGGGCTTAATATTTGTTTTTTTTTAATATACAGAGTTTTCTTTCAACAACAGGATAGTTAAACATATTTTCAGTTTCTTGTTGGGAAACGATGACTTGGCCCATTAGGAAAAAATGGACAAAATAGAAGCCCCGCCCACCCGCCCCTTCTCAATTGTGATGAATATTTTATTCATCGTGAGCTGAAGGGCGGAATTTAGTTTGCAAAATCCTCATTTCTCTACAAGAAATTATCATATGAAATAGAGTATATTTTAAAAGGATAGAATTTTTTAGAGAAATAGTAGGTATTGATGTTAGAATTAAACTCCGCCCTTCGGATTGATTAGGAATGAAAAACTCATCACAATTCAAATCCGGGCGGGTGGGTGGGGCTTAATCTTTGTTTTTTTTTTTAATATACAGAATTTTCTTTCAACAACAGGATAGTTAAACATATTTTCAGTTTCTTGTTGGGAAAAGAAGACTTCGCATATTAAGAAAAAATTTTTGAAATTTTGATGCGACGTTGCCACGTATTTTCTATTTTCTTCTATTTCCATAGCCTTTCTTGATCTTTGAAAAATAAATTTTTATTTGAGAAATTTTATAATCTACACATACAAGTGGGTAAAAAAAACAAACAGTCAGTTAGCTTCGTTACTGAACCACAGTATAGTTCTCAATTTTTTTCTACTTTTTAAATTTTGAGTACTGAAAAAAATACATGTGATGTGAAATGCAAAAGTATTTGTCAGTTGACGGAAAAAGTACCTTAAGTTAAACATTTTATAAACAAATATGTCCAGATTTTCTTCATCTGTAACTTTCATTAACACATTAAAAAAAAACAATGTTAAGAAATATAAAAATAAATATTTATTGTATGTTAAAAATTACATAATTATATACATTAATATGGAAAGTTAATAACTATGAAGTCAACCTCAACAGGTTAGTACTTTCTAAAGTAGGTAGCCCTGTAACCCCAGTTTGACTCTTTAAGTTAATTTCACTCATTTTAATTTTCCAATTGTTACTAACTTGTGGATCCCTTACTAATCCAAAAACTTGTTCAAAGATCCCTACACATGCACCTTGTGCATGCAAGGTTCCACATACTAACACCAACACTAAACCATGGGGGTCTACTCTTCCCTGTACTCCCCCTGCTGATAAATTTGGGTTAAAAACTAAATTAAAATTCATCCTTAATAGCAACAACCGCTGAACTATTTGTAATGGATCTCCTTCAATCACTTCAGTAGTAGCTTGTCCACTATTTACCATAGTAATTTGAATTTTTGCATCAGGGTAAAAATGCTCATGATTCATGCATTCATTTTTGTTCAACATGGTATAAAACCACTGCGCAAACTGTTCAGCAAGTTGGTTAATCGAACCACTATCAACTGTATTGGAATAAGTATTAGTAGATTCGTGAGTGTACTGGATACTCCAAAAATCAGCTGTCTTTTGAACCAGATCTATTTTAGATGCCGGTAAGTCAACACTAACGTTTTTCTTATAAAGGTAAGATAACAAAATTTCCTTGGTAATAATTTTCCGGCGCAAAACACTAAGCGCGTCTGAAGAGTAGTTCACAACAGCATTGACAGCCTCTAAAGAAATAAAGGTTATGTTTTGTACTAGATTTAACCATAATAAAAAATTAAGCCTACCTTCACGGGTATTTAGCCTGTTTTTGAGTAATCCTTGGGTTACAGTAGTGGCCAAAGATAAAACGGTGTTATCGTCCAAAAACGACAAAATTTCAGTGATTCCTGCCTTTGATGTCCCATTTAACATATTTATGTGGCCGTGTTTACACGAACTACATCCAACGCAGATTATAATAGTTATAATATAAGCAATCACCTGTAAAACACACAAGAAAGTTTCATTATTTTACACTTTTTAAGTTTTTAGGTTAGATTTTAACTGTCACTTCGACTGTCATCTGTCAATTCTGCAATAATTATCAAATATGAATAATAAATATACATGTTTAGTTTTATATTGCAATTTAATAATTTGCGTTCGTTACATTATAGACACTCTCTCAGTATCTTCTCAACGCATAGTTACACTTATTCAAACAGTAACGTTCTGGGGGCAGATTCAAACCGATTTTTCCCATAAATTCAGGCAACGGTTCCTTATTAACTAGTTTAGCACATTTCAAGATTTCGTCGAACTCCAAAAATACTGTGTTGTCGTTGACGTATTTAATAGCAAACAATGTATCCTGTCTTGTCAAATGACCAGGGTCAGCTGAAATATTTCGAGCTTCTGTCAACACAGAAGTGACGTAGTTGTAAACGAAGTCACTTAAATTCACCACTACTTCTGGATTATAATCAAGAATCTCCATTTCTCGTAAAATAACCGAGATAACTTCAAAAACTTTTGGAGAGTTCATTTTTAAACAAACCACCAAAAAATTATGCAGCATACCAATCCAAAAAATTTTAAACAGGCATGTGCACGTGTTCAATTCCGGATTCGAATTGCTTCAAGGTGCGAAGAATTCACATATGTTGAATAAATTGCTCGTGAACATTCGATACTGATGTATAACGAACGAGTATCAGTTTTTACGACACCTAACTCTAAAGATATTTAGGAGAATTTTTTTCGATGTTGGCAGAACTAGTTGTCAAAATTATGATTTCAGTCAAATGTAAGCCCTTGTTTTTCTTTGTAAAAAGATGAATTACGACGAGTTGAAATAGGCAAGGTTATTAGATCAATTTTTAAGTATGGGTAATATCTGATACAGCGGTTTTGAATTGCTTTCTTGGACAACATGGGAGGTTATGTGCAATTGACCCGAATCATTGGGACCCTTTTCAAAATGATTTTAAAAGTGTGGGCCTATTCGGGTTTAGTGCTAGTCTTTTGTTTCCTTTTATACTACGTATACGGCGGCGTTTTTGCAGTGATATTGTTATTTTTTGCTCTAACTGGTAATCAAGTAAAATCAGTGTGATTGAGTGTTTTATTACAATGAGATGTTTCAGGAGTATTGTATCACGTCCAAGACAACTTTTTATTTTATCCGGAGTTACCTAGTCATTCTCGAGTTTATGTACCGATTCCATCAACCTTTGGTCTTCCGTATGAAAGTGTTCAAACAAGAGGAAGCGATGGGGTTCTTATTCACATGTACTTCATTCATCAACCCAAAGAACGGCAACGACTATCACCCACGATCATATTTTTTCACGGAAATGCAGGAAATATGGGTCATAGGTTGCAGAATTGTAGGGGCCTTTATCACAACCTGCACTGCAACATTCTTTTAGGTAGATGTGTTACTTTTTTACTTAAGTATCTACATACTTTAGTTTCAGTTGAATATAGGGGCTATGGTCTTTCTGAAGGAAACCCAACTGAAGAAGGACTCTATATTGACGCCAAAGCAAGCCTAGATTACATTTTTTCTAGAAGTGATATCAATCATTCCGAAGTTATAATTTTTGGACGCTCTCTTGGTATTAATTAATTTCAGGATAGCACTGATTTAAGTAACGTTGCTTTGTAGGAGGTGCTGTTGCTGTAGACTTGGCAAGCAAAGAAGAGTATGGAAATAAAGTATGGTGCTTGGTTGTTGAAAATACGTTTTCCAGTATTCCAGACATGGCGAAAGTTCTTCTGAGCTGGAGGCTACTCCATTATTTTCCATTATTTTTTTACAAGAATAAGGTGATTTTTACTTGTGTGTGGTTTTTTATGAACTCTTGTGTTTTAGTTTGTATCATATCAGAAGGTTAAGCACTTGCGAGTGCCCACTTTGTTCATATCAGGAATGGCTGACACTCTTGTGCCCCCTCGTATGATGTCAGAGTTATACAATAATTGCAGGAGCGTGCGAAAGCAGTTACTACAAATTCCCGATGGAACACACAACGAGACGTGGACGGCACAGGGATATTATCATTCGCTGGCTGTGTTTTTGCAGAACTGCAGAATTCAAACAGAAGAAAAGAAAGATTATAGCAATAAAATTGATATTAGTGTTACTTGGAATGATGTACAAAATATTTGATTTATTTGTTAATGTTTTTAAATTGTAAGTTCGTATTATTTGTTTTCGTGATGTCCATATAAACGTCCAAAGAAAAATGTACATATTTTCTATTTGCAATTTACGGACAAATCGCCTAATTTAATAAAGTGTACATATTTTTCATGCTTCATCAGACCAGCGTGCTGTGTCAGTTTACTTTTGCAATAAACATTTGCAAGTGTACTTGAATTATTTATTACCCAATCCAATAATGCAGCTGAATATATAAACGTAGTAAAATCAAATTAGTATTAATTACCGTCATATAAACGTTTTTGACGTATATCTCCGCAACCAATCGCGTGCCGTATCGTAGCACAGTGTCTCCGCCCCCCACCTTTCACAGCCAGCTGGGATCGGACAGTCATCCCAGTTCTGTCACAAAAATCGTCAATTTTGACATATTTCAACATAAATCCAGAAATTCATCATTTGTCATGTCAAAATCGTTGTTTTCGTGCGACCCGTCGTCTACACCCTTCCAAAATTGACCTCCCAGGCCCACAATGCGCCGAGTGTTCGACACCGGACCTTCCGCGTCAAACAATTGTTATTATTGATAAGAAATCCTTATCAGCTACCGTTTGACAGATAAATTTTCTTCGCTGAAACAATATGTTATTAGGCGTCGAGCCGTATTCCTGATAATTCTTGAAAATGTTGAGTGTTTCGGAGGTGTTTAAATTCTTCGGGTTGTGTGTGTCTGTGCTAGTCTTCACGCAATGTTATCCGGAAGAAACCAGGGTGATGACGAGGGAAGAGCGCTACAGGCTCAGGTATAAGTCTGCTAAAGTTTGTTGAACGCTAATTTATGACATGATTCTTAGGGAAGAAACGCGGGACATGTTTTATCATGCATATCGAGCTTATATGGAAAACGCCTACCCTGCAGATGAACTCATGCCGCTGAGTTGTAAGGGCAGGTACAGGGGGCTTACACCAAATAGAGGCGACATTGACGACTGTTTAGGCAAGTAAGTATTGAGACAGAGATGTACAAATTACAACCTATTCACAAGAGAAAAAAAATACTAAATGGATGATGAGTCAGTGATTGTTTTGATCAGGTGGTTAAGTATGTCATTTATAGATTCCAGCATCTTAGTCAACAGTGATAGTTTTGTCTATAATGCATTTGCTGAATTGTAAAATTTTTTCATTTGTTGATTCAGGCAAAAATGTTATGTAAGCGGTAGTGCAGTTGCATAATTTTTGTTATCAGTATATTTATGTGACATAAGAATCTTTCATTGTAATGATTTTGTACTTGTAAATCACTGCTAGATTGAAACAAACACCTACCCGTTTTTAATTATTGACAGACATAGATTTCTTTACAAAAAATAATATGTGTTAGGAGTATAAAAGTCGAGGAAGAGAATACTTTTAAAAATTAAATTCATGCCAATATTTATTTGTAACTGTCGTAAGTTGGTCATGGTCAAGTAATAACAGTGTTATTGTATTTTCATACGACGTGTGACGTATATACACTGGAAAAGGACATAACAGTATCAATAGTTTTTTGTAGTATACATTTTTAGAATAATCATATTGATTAATGTGGGGAAAATATGAATTTTTATCAATATCATGTCAGTACTGAATTGAAATCGTGGTAATAATTAATGCCATAAAACAAAATTCATGGAGATATTTATTTTTATTGTTATGGTAATTTCGATGTTCGTACAAAAAAGAGGAAATCAATTTATTAGTCTGAGCATAACAATAAATAGGAGCTATTCCATAACGTTACATATGTATAAAGCTCGTTTATTTTGTTACATTGACGTTTCATTAATTCAAACTTTAATAATAATTTATTGTAAGCTACTTTAAAAATGTTTATCATCCTTGTGTATGCCAGGAGCGAGATGATTTGTTTTTTTTTTCGTTTCCAAAATGAACGAGAAAAACGAAAAACTGATTGAAAAAAAAGTATATCTAGTGAAATATAGCTTAGGGTATTTCTTGCACTTGAGCTCGAATTTTATTACATCGGTAGTTTTTATGACCCACTCACTACGCCCGACGGAACACAATGACAATCGTCCATTGTTAAAATGAAAACCAATAAAATAAATGAAAAATAATCTCGCGACAAATTACGTGCTTTATAGTTACTAGAAATTCTATATTGCCAATTATGTCTCTGTAAAACTGGGTAAATAGAGTATTTGAGGTTTTCGTTTGTTCTGATATTTAAATGTCAGCAAAACTGCACTCGTCTAGACTTATCCAGAAAGTAAATTCGTAGTGTTTACAACTACTAACCGCAACCTGTGCTTAAAACCGCAACCAGAAATGCAAATCGTCACAAATGTGCACGTTTCAAGGTGAAATGCCAATTTGTCGATATATTTAACTCTCTTAAATTAACCATAAAATTCAAAAACCGACAGATTCGTGTCTCTGAATTCCTTGGAAAATAACGCCAGCTTTTATCGCACTGGAATCCGCAGGCAAGGCCAGTAATCAGAACTTGCAGTTTTATTTTCCCAACACATGGTTCTTAGATATACCGTTTAATGAAAACCGATCTATTATGTCTATCGGTTACGGTCTGCTGTTTCTTTTTCAGCATAAGTGATAATTGGATTAGTCAGATTCAAAACATGTGCTATACTTGAAAAAAATACCACGTGTATTCTGTTACCATGCACTACATATTTGCATTGAAAAGTGTACTTTTATGTTGATTTTTTTTTTATGATAAAAATAAACTACGGATTTCCCAGTCGTCGCAACTAAATGTCAATAATTAGCAATTAAACGTGTTGTTAATGACCAGGTTTTCTTCATTTAATTTTTAAATGAAATTCTAGCCATGAAGATAAAAGAACTAACGTTAACAACAAGTTGATGTTTACATTTATGTGTATATATTATGTTTATTATTGCATATACTCGTATCTAAAGTCACTTTTTCATGTTAATATCTGATTCTCAAGTCAAGGTATTCACGTTTTCTCGACATTTGATGGCCCCTAGTGTACGAAAAAATGGGTCCCCTGTTTCCGTATGTCGTCTGTGTCGATTTTTATTTAATTAAATTTTATAAGTATTTTAGGAATATGTATTTTGTAGACTGTAAAAGCAATTTGATAACGTCATCACAAAATTTTGCCTAATAAATGCTATTTCAATTTTGTAAAATAACATACTCATGTATGTACTTGCAGTTTATGAATATTCCTTGTAGGCCTCTAGATGTTCTTAAAAAAATCACGATCATTTGTAAAAAAACTTGGCAAGTTTCGATAACTCAGATGGTTGTAGCGTCTTTCTATAACGCTAGTTCTGTCTAACACGAGACTTTTTTAATAACTCATAACAATGTGACAAAAATATTGTTCCACACGGTGGAAGCCCTAACTAAAGTTAAAATATGAATTTTAATATTCTCGTTCCGCCATTTTAGCCATTTTAGGTATGAAACTTCGTGAAAAATCTCATTATTACCACTGAACAAGCCTCAGTGGATTTTAAACTGTTCGTCTCAATTATGTAAAATGTGTTATTCAGCTAGCCTCTGTTATGAATATAATGTAATTAAATATATCAACTTAAAGTCAAGGGACCAAAATTGGTGTATTTTACTCAACTCTGTTTATACATATTGAAAAAATGTTGTTTTATGCCACTGAAATATCACAACAGTGTGCAGAAAATGTAATGAAAAAAATCGAATTTATTCCCAGGTTAATTTATAAAAATTACATTACATGCTTGTCACATGATCAAACCAACATCAGAACATTAGAAATCGTGACCTGGATTACTGTCATGTTTTCTCGACGTTTCGTGAGCCCTAGAGAACAAAAAAATAGGTCCCCCGCTTCCGTTTGTCCGTCATGATTTAAAAACATCGAGGTGGGTTCATAAACCATAAGTTTAGGAGTATGTTATTTTACAAAATTTAAATAGCATTTACTATGCAAAATGTTTGGGTATGGTTATCAAATTGTTGGATGGACTGAGCAGACATATTTTGATTAGCGTTTTACCATCTACACAATATTGCTAAAATACAAATAAACTTCACAATAATCAAACCAATAGTTTCAGAGTTTACGCTTGGAAAGTAAAAAATTAACGTTTTATTTTGTTGGAATTATTTTATTCTAGTCAGTGTTCACTCTATTTTGATTTAAACTGCATTTAAATCAAATTATTTAAATCGAGTCAACCCTATTTTAGTCACCATTGTCTATGATTCGAACGCATTATTTTACGAAAACACACTCTGCTAACTTGTTTATATATTTCTAGTTTTCTCATTTGAAAATATGTATTCTGATTCTGATCAACATTATTTCAGCAAGAATACCTATGTGATTATCGATTTATCACGCTGCCTATAACCTTAAAACATTTACAAGATTTCAAAGCATTCGGTTTTGCAATTTCAAAATTAAATTGTAAAATGTCTTACAATGTTGTTTTTTTTTTCACAAAAACTGGATGTCTAAGGTAAAAACTCAAGACGGATTCATAAACCACAAGTGTAGGAGTTTCTTACTTTATTCTTAGTTTATAAAATTCAAATAATATTATAATAAATTATTGGGATGACATCAAGCCTATTGTGGTGGGGATGATTGACCGCATTTTGGTTAGAATTTTACCGTCTGCACAATATTTCTAAAATGCCTGTAAAATTTGACAACAATCAGTCTAATAGTTCCGATGAATATCTATTTAAAAAAATTGGCACAGTCAACAGACAGACAGACAGATGGAAACTGGAGACCTATTTTGTACTTCCCGAGCGTAAACGAAGAAATTATAGTAATCGAGACCATCAGACGAATGGCCACTTTTATATTTTCTCGACGGTTAATGACCCCTACAGTACGAAAAAAGTAGTCTCCCGTTTCCGTCTGTCTGTCTGCCTGTCTGTCTGGTGTCTGTATCCATTTTTATTAGATACGTAATCTCCGAAACTGCTGGACCGATTATTTCAAATTTTGTGCATATATTAGAAGCATCATGTAGTTGGTTAAATACTAACCAAAATTTTGCTAATCATCCTCACCAACCATTTGATGGCATCGTTTCAAAAAATTCTATGTTTATTTGATTTAATAATAATTCAAATTTGCGTTCCCGTGGCTCAGGGATTGGGGGGTGCTATTGACTCCGGTTCATCCGTTCACCGAAAAGAATCGAGGAATTTCTATGACTTTGTTTGCTAGTTGGTTCTCAAGATATTTAACCGTTTCCATACATTCAAGAGAGCCTGTATAAGGTTATCAAAAAACAAACATTGGATGCCTCGGGGAAAATCTCAAGGCGGATTCATGAGCAAGAACAAGCGTCTCTTTTTTTTATAAAATAAAATTTAACCGCCTCGATGGACTCGATTACAATACTTCGTTGGCTTATGCTCTGGAAGTAAAAATAAACTGTAGATTATAAAATACCAACCAAAATGTGTCTAATAATCACCACTACTTCGACTACGTCGCTTGAAAATGTACATTAAACATTATTATTTCAATTTTATAAAATAGTATCTCCTACAGTTGTGGTTTATGAATTCGCCTTGATTATTAATCACAATGACAAGTGGCATCAAGAACTCTGCCCGCGTGAGTTCGAATCCCATCGTTGACGACATTGAATTTATTTGAATGTTATACCAGAGAACATAGAGAAGAGTCATAGTTTAAATGAAATGACGGTTGAGGACTCCTCGACTTATGTTGGCAACAGTGTTTGTTTCTAACTAGGAATAAATTTAACTACAATAGAAAAAATGCCATAACATTTTTACCGACGCCATTATCCGTGATCTGATACACATCTTAACAGGTTTCGACCATAATTTCTTGCCGTTTCAACTTTCGAATTCTCAGTTTACTCCTATTTATTATTCAATTTTTGGATTTTACAATTTCTCAATTTTTCAATTTTTCGGTTTTCAGTTTTTCTCTTCAATTTTACGATTTTTAAATACATATTTCGATTTTTCAATTGATTGATTTTTCAGGTTTCGATTTTTCAACTTCACTTTTTTTATTTTTCGATTTCTCAATTTTTCAATTTTTTAATTTCTCAGTTTTTGAACATTTCAGTTTTGGGATTTTTCAGTTTACTTATTATTCAATTTTTCGATCTTACGATTTTGCAGGTTTTTGATTTTTCAATTTTCCGATTTTTTTAAGGTTTCGATATTTCGACTTCACTTTTTTGATTTTTCGATTTCTCAGTTTTTCGATTTTTTGGGTTCTCAGTTTTTGGATATTTCAGTTTTGAGATTTTTCAGTTTTTCGATATTTCAGTTTTGGGATTTTTCAATATTTCTGTTCTTCGACTTTCCCATTTTTGACTTCTGGAAAAATCGAAAAAGTAAAAAGTCAACACATCGAAAGACTTTTTACTTTTTCGATTTTTAAATTTTAGATTTTTAAATTTTTTGGTATTTTAATTTTTCAATATTTAAAACCGTAGATTTTTCGATTTCTCGATTTTTCATTTCAGCTCTTCCATATTTCAATTTTTCAAATGTTTCGATTTTTCAACTTCCCGGTTTTAGATTTTCTGTTTTTCATTTGTCGTTTTTTCAAATTTTCGAGTTTTAAATTTTTCAAATTTGGCATTTATAAACTGTCAATTTTTCAATTTACAATTAATCGATGTTTTGATTTTCCCATTTCTTGACTTTCGAGGGTTTCGATATTCCTGTTCTTCAATTTTTCGATTTTTCATTTTTTAGTTTTTTTAAGGTTTCGATATTTCGACTTCACTTTTTGGATTTTTCGATTGCTCAGTTTTTCGACTTTTTAGGTTCTCAGTTTTTGGATATTTCAGATTTCGGATTTTTCAGGTTATTAGATTCTCAGTTTATCATTCATTTTTCAGTTTTTCGATATCTCAGTTTTGGGATTTTTCAATATTTCGATTCTTGGACTGGATTTTTGACTCCTGGATTTTTCGATGTGTCGATTTTCGATTATTTTAATTTTTAGATTTTTCAATTTTTCGATTTTAAATTTTAGATTTTTTAATTTTTAAAATTTTAGATTTTTCGATTTCTCGATTTTTCAGTTCAGTTCTTCGATATTTGAATTTTTCAAGTTTTCGAATTTTTCAAATGTTTCGATTTCTTAATCTTTTGATTTTTTGATTTCCCGGTTTTAGATTTTCTGTTTTTCAATTGTCATTTTGTCAAATGTGCGATTTTTCAATTAATCGATGTTTTGATTTTCCCATTTCTTGACCTTCGAGTGTTTCGATTTTCCTGTTCTTCAATTCTTTAATTTTTTGATTTTCGTGTTTTTGATTTTTCAATTTTTTAAGATTTTTATTTTTTGACTTCACTTTTTGATTTTTCGATTTTTCATTTTTTAGATATTTCAGTTTTAGGATTTTTCAATATTTCAATTCTTCGGCTCTTCTATTTTTGACTTCTGGATTTTTCGATGTGTCCCTACCTTTTTACTTTTTCGATTTTTCGACTTCCTGGTTTTAGATGTTCTGTTTTTCAATTTTTCGATTTGTTAATTTTTCATTCCCGATTTATCGAGATTTGATTGTTCAGGTTTTCGATTTGTTAGTTTTTCAATTTTTTATTTTGGCCTATTTCGATTTCTCAGATTTTCCAGTTTTCCATTTTTTCGTGTTTTGATTTCTCTATTTTTCGATTTTTCGACTTCATCGCTTTTCGATTTCTCGTTCTTTTGATCTTTCAATCTCTCAATTTTTCAATTTTTCGAATTTTTAAGTTTTTTGATTTCTCGATTTATCGAGATTTGGATTTTTCGATATTTTGATTGTCAATTTCTCAATTGTTCGACTTTTCGACTCCACGATTTCTTGATCTTTTGATTTTTCGATTTCTCGGTTTTTCGATGTTTCGATTTGTCAGTTATCCGATTTTTTAAATTTGGAAGTTTCGATCTCTCGATTTTTCGTTATTCGGTTTTTGAATTTTACATTTTATCGATTTCTGATGTTTCACTTTTCGATTTACAGTTCTTCGATATTTCGATTTTTCAATGTTTCGGTTTTAAGATTTTTTTAAGGTTTCGATTTTTCGATTATTTTAATTTTTCATTTTTTTTCCTCACTGTTAATATCATACAGTGTATCGAAAACAACCACAAAACATTTTCCCGAAAAAAATCCATTGGGTTATTACGATTTCAACAATATTCTTAGTTTAAGACGTTTTGCTAGTATAAAACACAAATAAAGAATTAATTCTTAGTTAAACAAAATATGTAAAATCATCTTAATATGTACAAAAAATATTCACTTAGTCGTTATAAAAACCGAGCAAACAATTATATCCCGCAAAATTATAGTCCAAACCAACCAAATCGCTTCTGAACGCTTAGAGTCGACATTGGCTGAGCGCACTCTGGTCTGTAGATCAAACAAGTTCTCAGGCGACGAGTTGTAGTGAAACAAGTGTTTTTATTGGCATCGACTATTTAAATTTGGCGCTTGTCTTTGGCGGTTGAGGACTCCAATGTCAATAAGGGTGGTTTTGCAAAATCAGCATGTATGTCGTATCTATATTAATCTATGGTTACACCTCAGGCACGAGGGAAGTTTAATCAAAGAAATGAAAAATATTTCCAGAACCTACCCTAATCTGAAAACTTTTTCTGCGCCCGTTACCAGATTATTAAATATTCCTCAACTAAAACTAAATTAGATTCTGATGGTTTTGTCGATCCGTATTCCTCTATTACTGAAGCATGCGATTATTAAGAGTAGAAGATATTTTAGTTGTAGTAAAATATTGATAAAACATTTTCCGCTATTAAGATTTTTATGATCGATAAGCATTTTAAATATTACGTTCGCTTGAAACACAAAAGTTGCATTCTTTTCGTGGTGGCAGAAATGACTTTTTTTTGAAAACTCAAATTTATCCCTTCCAAATTATACAAATACCATGTAACCTCAATTACATTGCACAATCTCTCACTGTCCGTCAATCATTTTGTAGTAACGTAACCCAGAAAGCCAAATTGAGGCAAATTCGACATCTCAAAAAAGTCGTCGACCTGATTAACATTTTAAAATCCCGATTACCGCAAGCACTTTTTCCGTGTTTCTCATTACAGTTAACTGACGCTAATAAGGTGAAAAATTTTTATTAAATGGCGGACTTTCCGCTTGATTAATCAACGTTGGTAGAAAAATTTTAATAGATGTTTACAGTAAAAGCACAAAGTCTGTTCAAGCATTTATTCGTTGTATTTAGCAGACAGAACGCAAGAAAGGAGGAAGTGGACTGTGCACAAGTCAGTCAGTCGAGGACTCAGTAAAGGTTTTCATGAATATTAATAGGCTTTCTCAGTAGCCGCGACGATACACCCTCTAGAAACTCGCATTGTATTATTTAAGAAACTTGCAAAGCAAGATTTTTTAGGGTTATATAGTGCACACATTTTAATACATTTGAACTGTTCTGCAGGATTTTGCCAGGTTTGCTTTTTATTTAACAAGTAGTTGATGATTCAGAACTAAAAATTACATAACAAAAAATCGTTGTTAATTTGTGGTTACTATTAGACGTACCAGTCGTCACTATCGCTCACTGATTGAATTTTTCTCCTTACTGTGAAAGCGAAAAAGGCGCACATAAGCTGCAAGAATCAAATTTATATCAGTTTTATAAATGTGGTGAACTTACTTCCAGTGCAGCGAAAACAATAGCAACGAAACCTATAGTTTTAATGTATTCTCCAATCACATCCCGAAAAGCTGTTGCACAACCGGTTTCGAAAGGACGTAAACACGGGTTGTTATCAGAGTTACAACAACTTGTTGGAAAAGTGTTGTTGTAATCAAAATATCCATTAACTCCACAGCATTCAAACTGCAAGAGATGTGTAATAAAACAATGCAGACATGTAGACGTGTAGACATACCTCTTGTTGAAGAACGTAGAACTGTGTTCTATCCTCTTCGAATAACCGCTGCACAGTTTTAGTAACTTCCCTGGAAAATCGGTCAGGATTTTGAACTTTAGTAACCGCCATTATACCAAGCGAAAGTTGTATGGTAAAAAGCCCCATCAAAATACCAGCATACTACAAAAATCTAATGACTGTTTGTCGATAATCTTGATTTTCAATTACAATTTTTAAAAATATAGATTTTTCAAAACAAGCACTGACACATCCAAAAATGCATACTACTAATGCAATTGTGCCCACCGTTACGGATAGAACTCCAAATAAGAAATCACCAAAAATTGATACGCCATTGTTTTTGCTTTGTATATATTCTGCCCCAAAAGCGATTAACACAATAGCGCCGCTCTAAAAAGTCGAATAAGTAAACTTTGACGAGAATTATATTTACTTACAGCGGTGATCAAGTTGGATATGTATATTGCGAGTTTGAGAATTAAAGATGTGAGCCATGACATTTTTGCAGTGTAAACTGGGCTGGTACTCAATACAATGTGTTTAAAATAACAATATCGCCGATAAAATTTGCTATCAGTTAATCTTTATCTGTATCTCCCCTGACGTTAAGTAAAGTGAAAAATAAATACTTTTTAGCGTATTTATGATATAATGAAGGGTTAGTCATAGCTTTAGTTTTGCTTTTTATTGCCAATAAAGTGATTTATTACTGTCCGGGGTAATTCGTTGCATCAGATAAAAATGTATAACGAGGAAGCAAATTTTATAATGACGTTGGAGATAAAAAAAGGATCAATTGAATTCTAATACAAACAATCATCGATCTTCAGGCCGAAAAAATAATTTATTATTGTCTGATGTACCTTTTTTAATTAAATTAAAGCAAACATTTCTTAAGAATTTTAGAGGTCTTATAGGTTTGAGCGAAAATGAAGTTTTCACACAGACGGTTTTACATAAACTAGAGTGAAACATATTTCAGTTGTAATATTTTAATTTAACGAAAAATTAAAGTTGTATAATAGTAAGACTCCGAGAGAAATAATTATTTATGAAACTGAAACAGAGTGGAGTAACCAACATTAAACATCTATACCTAATAAGTGACTTTCGTAGTAAAATTATTATTAAATCTTAAATTAAAATTATACAGTATTCATTTTATTATGCTTAAACATATTTGAATTCAAGAGATAGTCGTCGACACTAAAATTGTTTTTGTTATTACCTATTAGAAACATACGACGGGTTCAAAACCATTAAAGTCTCGGGTTTATCATGAACCTATGATAAGTGATATCTTAAGATGGATTAACTTAAAAATGTACTCGGTTTTTGTCTCTCTTGACAATTTTCCCAAATTTGTGTAGACTATGCTGTTAAAAAAAAAATAGGTAAAGAAGCAAATTCTTATGAGTATGGTGTATAAAAGTATCGATTACGTCAAGAAATACTTTATGAACCTGACAATTACATAAGTAAATAATAATTTGTGTAAATAATTCTATTTAATAATAAATTATTATTATTAAATACAAAAACCGTCATTTATAAATTTTAATAATAATACAAGGTTGGCTCTGGAAAGTGATGCAAAATTTTCATTGTCAGTACAATTAAAACCGACAAATATAACAGAATGAAGTTCAACTAAAGGTTACATGTGTAGTCTTATGTTTTATACATGTGTGACACAGTTGACTTTTTTTTTGTAAAATATGTATGAGTTTTCCAACCTAAAAAAACAAAAGTTAAATGGATTGAATTGTATTGTTGTAAAGTATTGGGCTTACAAAGATCGTACTCAAATCACAATTTTTTTCCACAGTTGAGGAGCAATCATTTTTTTCAAGTGTTCGAAATGCTGGAAAACTAGTGAATTTTTTGTAGGTGGCATAGCAATAAACAAGTACATCTAGTTAGTGCAATGTCTATTATTTTATATTATACATATACAGGCTGTCCAAAAAATGGCGTACCAACTCTCTATGACAGACCTAGGGGCGGAACCTAATAGCAAAATCGATATTTCCTTACAAAAATTTACCATTTTAAACGTCTCTTAAGTTTCTATAAATAAAAAAAATCATCACATTGAGATAGGGCGAGTGGGCGGGGTTTATATTTTGCCTTTTTTTCTTAATATACATAGCCATCTTTTCATAATAAGAAACTTAAAAAATTGTTTACGCAAGGAAATATGGGTTTTGCAATTATGGGGCGGAGCCTAATTGCAAAGGCGATATTTCCTTATACAAATTTTCCATTTTAAATATGTTTTAAATTTCATGTTGTGAAAAGAAGTCTACACATACTAAAATAAAAAGGCGAAATGTAAACCCGCCCACCCGCCCTGTCTCAATTGTGATGATTTTCTTTTATTCGCCCTGAATCAACTTAACTGCAGAATACTTATTTCTTTACAAGAGATTAAAAACATGTTTTTGAGTATCGTGTTGTTCAAAGAATACTATGTATTTTAAGAGAAAATTAAAGCCAAAGATCAAGCCCTGCCCAAATCTACCCTGATCCAAATAGTAATGAAGTTTTCATTCGTTGGCAGACCTAGGGGAGGAGCCTAACTGAAAAATCCATTTTCCTTACAAAAATTTACAATTTTAAACGTGTGTTAAGTTTCTAAGAATAAAAAACTTATCACAATTGACATGGGGTGGGTGGGCGGGCTTTAAATTTTGCCTTATTTTCTTAATGTACATAATATTCTTTGAACAACACGATACTCAAAAACATGTTTTTAATTTCTCGTAGAGAAATAGAGATTTTGCAGTTAAGCTCCGCCCCTTGGTTCACGGCGAATAAAAAAATAATCACAATTGAGAATGGGCGGGCTTACGTTTATGGAGCAGAGAAAAAATAATTTAAAAAATCCTTTTGTCCAAATGTAGAAACTTTTTTTTCAAAATTTCGCCATAATTTAGTTCACTACTTTGTGTTGGGTATCTAAAATCGATTGAACTTTCTAATTTTTGAAACATCTTTCTTGTCTTTATAGATTTTTTAATTTTATAACATTACAAAAATCCTAAATATTTGCTTAGGATGAATCCGACCAAGGTGGCTAAATTTTCACGTTTTTTGATCTATAACTAAATTAATATTTTGTTTTTGTAAGTCAACGTCAAATTGACCTGAATAATTTTTGTGAATTTAATCATGTATCGTTGTTTGGTGCGCATCTTTTTTGAACACCCTGTACATACATGTATGTACAGTATTTACTAAGATGAGACTGACTTTTTCAAATGATGTATACTCCAAGAAAATAGCGGGCGGGTGGGCGAGGCTAGTACTTGCTAAGATAAAATTCATTTTGGCAAATGATACATTCTAAAAAATAGAAAGGTTTTTGCCAAAATCAGTCTTACATTAGAAGGTACTAGCCCCGCCCACCCACCCTCTCCTTTCATAGAGGGTATGTTATCTGCCAAAATCAGTCTTATCTTATCAAGTACTAACCCCGCCCACCCGCCCTCTATTTTCTCAGAGAATGTCATTTGCCAAAATAAGACTTATGTTAACAAGTACTAGCCCCGCCCACCCACCCTTTGTTTTCTCAGGGAGTAGTACTTGCTAAGATAAGTCTTATTTTGGCAAACGCCATATCCTCATATGTATATGTATTTTTTTAATTTTACCAGGCAAAGATAACCTAAAAACTTTTCATCTATTGTACTGCATAAAAAGCTTATATGTATTTTAAAGACAACTTTTTTACAGGCCCGACCTACATCACTTGTTTCTTTATTTTATTTTCAAATTACGAAAATGTAATACATATTACTGTCTTTTCATTTTTAGTTTAAATCAAAATAGTTGTGCTGAACATTGGCTACAATAAAATATTCTCAACAAAATAAAACGCTAATTTTCTTTTGATTGTTTACTTCCCGCTTTTGTTTCCTCGACGTTTGATGACTCCCAGGTATAAAAAATGGGTCCCCGTTTCCGTTTGTCTGTCGTCTCTCGTGTATGTCGATTTTATTACACAAATAATCTCTGATACTATTAGACTGATTCTCATCAAGTTTTATTTGTATTTTAGGAAAATTGTGTAGGTGGTAAAACGATAAACAAAATTTGTCTAATCATCCGCACCAACAATTTGATGTCGTCACCTACAAATTTTGCATAGTAAATTCTATTTAACTTTATAAATATCAATCCTAAACTTGTGTTTTATGAATCTGCCTCGATTTTTTTCAGTTTTACCACTTTGAAGAAGCTACTTTTTATTTTAAGAACACGTATGACGACAAAACATTAATCGAATATATTCAAATAAACTCGGTAAACAAAAAACACTATTACCAATTAGCAACGTAAATGAAAATAAATTCTCTTTATTGCTCAAAACTCGCAAAAACACGATTCAAACATGTCGCTTTTTTTTAAATCATTGGTTTTGATTTTTTTCTAATCCAATTTTTTCAATCCCGATTTTGGAGATCATTTTTAAACGAATTTAAAATCAGTTTTGGACTCGGTAACACTGAAATTTGATATGAATAATGACCTCAACATTTTGTTAATAGCGTTTGTGCAATAAAAAATTCATTGGAATTATTATTAACAATGCAATTATTTTATATATTTAAATAATTAACCATATAAAAAATAGGCCTAAGGTTATTTAGACCTCGCCCCTCGTTTTATTTTTTTCTGTGATAAACTCTGTAACTTCAAATAAAGATATGTGTGGACTGTTAAACTAAAGTACGGGTCTTTACCTGCTTTTTTAAGCATGCTATCCGTAATGCGTATGTTTCGAGTGAGTTTTTCCATAATAAAATTTTGTCATCAACATTTTAGCAACGACACATTGAGTGTAATACTAATAATAACAGTACTGCATTCTCCAATTTTTCGGAAAATTGGATGAAACATTCCGATGACCTTCGCGTTAGTAATAAAATAATGTTTACAAATGAGCTACACAGCTGACTGACTGCGCTCTTCTTATAGTGATAAAAAATGGCATTGTACAATTTAATTTTTTTTTTTTGAAAATTTGAATGTTTAGGGTAAAAACTCAAGGCGGAATCGTAAACTACAAATACAGGAATATGTTGGTTTACAGAATTTATGGAAAAGTTTCACTTGACGTCATCAGCAGTCGTTGGTAGAGATGATTAGATAATTTCGAATAGTGTTTGGCCATGTAAGAATCGTCACAGGCAGACAGACGGGAGCTTGAAACCTATTTTTTGTACTCTAAGGTTCATGAAAGGTCGACAAGACAGAAGATAACCAACTATTCGCCGCTGGAAGTACAAAAAAAGTTATATCCCTTTTTTGTGTTTAAACTCACACCGCCCAGACTTTGAAATACGTTATTTTATCAGTCACTGAAGTAAAAATCATTTTGTCCTATACCAATAAGCAACTGAAAACAAACATTTTTCTTTTCGAATTAATTATAACGGCAATTTTTGCCCGGAATTCGTTTAATTATGACTAATTTTAATACAAGGTATAAAAACTATTGATTGTAGAGTGCAGACCGAAAAATCATTTTGTACCGAACGAGCTCATATATTAGTAATCCGCCTTTATTGTTCTTCCCCGGAAAATAAAATCTGCAAAAATACTCATGTTTCCCGTAGGCGTATAAAAGTTCTTATCTGGATTTCACTTTTTCCATCCCCCAACCTCGTAACCTAAGTACGACGGTAAATTTAAAATGAGCTTCAGCTTTAATTCTTGTGTTTCTTTTCTGTTCAAGTTTCTCACTAACATTAATCGATACTCTGGACTCTTTAGTGGTGTTAGGTGATTTAGAAGAATTCGAACACGCCGTTAAGCTCGTTATAAAGGACGTATCGTTCGACAACGACGTCGTGGTGTCTGTCTTCGAAACGAACATTCGAGTTTTAGGGTGAGTTAACAGCCCTTTAAAAGTCACACAAAAGTTTACGCTGCCACGTTCTAGGGGACTTCTATCAGCTCACATTCTCGCCGATTATTTACAACAGCGAGATGGAATACTGCCATGGTACAAGGGCGAACTACTCAATATGGCCAAAGACGTCGGCTACAGGCTGTTACCGGCTTTTAACACCACCACGGGGATACCCCACTCCAGAGTAAGCCGTTTTATAATGAAACAGAAATTTTCTATGCATGTTTTATTCTACTAACTCGATGTGAAGTAGGCATTTGTTCCCTTGTGTGGAGACCGAAAGTGTCGTTTTCTCTCTCTAGGGAGGAAAAGTAATTTGTAAGTAGATTTATCAAACGTCTCGGTCCATTTATTAATAATAACCGTACAGTTACTAACATTAAAATTAAACATATTAATAAACAAAATTAATATTATCTGTAAGTAATTTTTTTAATAGGTGAACATGAAATACGGCATCAAGAGTGATCGCTTGGAGTCTGCTAGAGAAACGTGTACAGCTTGTGCGGGTTCCATGATCTTGGAGATGGCAGCACTGTCGCGACTCACCGGCGAGCCGATTTTTGAAGAAAAGTCGCACAAAGCGATGGACGAGTTGTGGAAAATGCGCCATCGGAGTTCCGACCTTATGGGTACTGTGTTGAATGTCCATTCAGGCGATTGGGTTCGGAGGGACTCGGGAGTCGGTGCTGGCATCGATTCCTACTACGAGTATTGTCTGAAAGCCTACATTTTGCTGGGAGACAACAAGTATCTGCATCGGTTCAATCGACATTACAACGCTGTGATGAAATATATATCTCAAGGTAAATGCTAATGAGTTGAGAAACGACTACATGTGATGTTCATTGATTAGTTATTCTTGTGTACTTTACTGATAGGGGGAATACCACCAAAATGAATATTCAATTGGTTGCCAGAAAATCAAAGACTGATTTTAGTATATCGCAATACAATTTTTGACCAAAGCGTAACAAAAACTAGGAAACTTCGTTCGTTATAAATTATTTAATAAAGAATTAATTGCATTTACTAATGAAAAATTCAACAGTCTGATTTTTTGTTTTAAATTTATTGATTCAGGTAACAATTAGATTATGGATTAAAAGAGCATTTTCAAGGCAAACTAAATGATGTTTCTGAAGTGGATCAAATAAAAACAAACAGTTGTGATAAATCTGAATACAAACAGGGGAGAATATTTTTTTTCGTAGAATTGTCCGAAAAACTACAAATTTAAACAGAAACTTTTTCACGTCAGTAGTTGTAAAAAAATATTCAAAGATGGCTCTTTTAAAGTTGCGCACAATAAATACAAAAAAATTATTGAAAGTCAAAAGATTGGCCTAAATTTATCTAGACAGAACCCTGAAGTACAATCAAACAAATGCAATTTCTTTCATGAATTATAAAATTTGATTTTACGATTTTTTTTTCAAGCGAAATTAGAGGAAGCTAATAATGTACAATAGTATTAAAAAATTTTTATTCAATATTTACACATTTACGAATATTTCCCGAGTGTAATCTAGGAAAGTATTGTAGTAGGTTCCACTTGACAAATGTGTACTGTAAGTAGAGGCCACTTTCGGGAACGGATTATTCAGTCGAATCGAGTCCAGCGAAGGTTAAGAAGAGCCAGTCAAGTTGCGCCGGAATTATTTTGTACATAATCGCTGTGTAATTAGTCGTGTAAATTCGAGTTACGAAGATATACATTGTTGAGATTTACCCACGCCGATTTTAATAATCGATCATCAAAACAATGCTGATGTCAATATCTTCTACAAAAAATGTTTGAATGTTGATCAGCCTCCTCTGGTGGACAGTTGCTACACTACATAGTGCAATAATGAAAATAAAAAACGGTGAAATTATTTAAACGAATTTTCTAAAATAATTTATTTTAAGATCAACTCTATTCCAATTTGAAAACTTACTGGCATATAGAGAAATTTTCGTAGATGACCCTCTTGAATGATGAAAAAAAAACCTTTGAATTATTTAACAGAATTTTCTAAAATAGCTTTAACATCAATTCTATTCAACTTAGAAAAAATATTCATTTATAGAGAATTTTTAATTATGAATTCGAGATTCTTTTTAGTATAAATGTTGAAATAATGAAGAAAAACGGCAAAATAATTTCCAAAAATTTTCTAAAAAATGTTTAGTGTTGACTTTATCTTTTGTAAATTACCAATTTCAAGTCCTCTTTGGCATAGACCTTGAAATAAAGAAGAAAAATGGCGAATTCATTTCCAAAAATGTTTTTTAAAAAGTTTAAACATTTTTCTAGAACTGATTCTATCGGAGTTAAGAATTTTGTTGGCTTGTAGAGAGTTTTGAAGATCATTTTGGTACAGATCTTGAAACAATGAAAATAAAAAGCGGTAAAATTATTTACAAGAATTTTCTCAACAACTCAACAATTTATTTCTTACTAACTCAAATTTACACGTCCAACTGCACAGCGATTATGTACAAAATAATTCCGACTCGACTGGAATGGAGTTAACTAGACTCTACTTCTCCCATTATTTGGACTACTCTCAACATTCGCTGGACTCGACTCGATTGAATAACACTACGCAACAAATTAAAAAAAAAATACAGAATGTACAGTATGTTGTTAAAAAAACGGCGAAATGATTCCCAAAAATTTTCTAAAAAATGTTTGAAGCGAGCTCTATTCGAGTTAGAAAACTTGTTGGCTTCTAGAGAATCTTTCGTAGATCACTAACTTTTTTGTTATGGATATTGAAATAATGAAAAAAATAAATCGGCGAAATTATTTCCACGAATTTTCTAAAATAATTTTAAGAAAAAATTATTGACTTATAGACTTTTTTGTAGGTTATGGATTTGAGTCTTTTTTAGTATACATCTTTAAATACTGAAGAAAAATGGCGGATTAATTTCCAAAAATTAAAAAAAATATTTTAGAACTAACTCTTCGATCTTGTTGGCTTGTAGACAATTTTTCGTAGATTACGAATTTGAAGTCCTTTTTGGTATAAATGTTGAAATAATGAAAAAAAAACAGTGAAATTTTCTAAAATAAGTTTTATTTAACTATTCGAATTGGAAAAAATTTTGAATTATTGAGAATTTTGCGTAGATTATTAAATTGAAGTCCTTTTTGGTATAGATCTAGAAACAATAAAGAAAAACTTAGAAAGCGTTTTAGTTCGTCGAGAATTTTATAAACTATAGATCTTGAAAGAATGGCCTAATTATTTTCAAGAATTTTCTAAAATAATTTTAAAATCAACTCCATTCGAGTAAGAAAAAATTGTTGACTTATAGACAATTTTTTGTGGGTTATGAATTTGAGCCTCTTTTAGTATAGATCTTGAAATAATAAAAAAAAATGGCGGAATAATTTCCAAAAATTAAAAAAAAATATTTAAACTAACTTTTCTATTGTTGACTTGTAGACAATTTTTCGTAGATTACGAATTTGAAGTCCTGTTGGGTATAAATCTTCAAGTAATAAAAAAGAAAACGATGAAATTATTTCCGAGAATTTTCTAAAATAATTTTTCATAGATTACGAATTCGAAATCCTGTATGGTATAGGTCTTGAAATAATGAAAAAAAACGACCAAATTATTTCCAAGAATTTTCTAAAATAATTTTAAAATCAACTCTATTCGAGTAAGAAAGAATTGTTGACGTACAGAAGTTTTTTTTGTAGATTATGAAATTTAGCCCCTTTTAGTATAGATCTTGAAATAATAAAGAAAAATGGCGGATTAATTTCCAAAAATAAAAAAAAATAAACTAACTCTTCTAATTAGAAATCTTATTGGCTTGTAAACAGTTTTTCGAAATCCTGTAGGGTATAGACTATAGATCTTGAAATAATAAAAGAACGGCCAAATTATTTCGAAGAATTTTCTAAAATAATTTTAAAATCAGCTCCATTCGAGTAAGAAAAATTTGTTGACCTACAGAGACTTTTTTGTAGATCATGAATTTGAGTCCCTTTTAGTATAAATCTTGAAATAGTGAAGAAAAATGGCGGATTAATTTCCAAAAATTAAAAAAAAATAATTTTAAAAACTAACTCTTCTAGTAAGAAATCTTGTTGGCTTGTAGACAATTTTTCGTAGATTACGAATTTGAAGTCCTGTTGGGTATAAATCTTCAAGTAATAAAAAAAACGGTGAAATTATTTCCTAGAATTTTCTAAAATAATTTTCATTTAACTCTATTCCAGTTATGAAAAATTTTGAATTATTGATCATTTTTCGTAGATTATTAATTTGAAGTCATTTTTGTATAGATCTTGAAACAATGAAGAAAAACGGTGAAATAATTTCCAAAAATTCTAAAAAAAAAAAATTAGGACGAAACTATAAAGTTAGAAAGCGTGTTAGTTTGTAGAGAATTTTTCGTAGATTACGAATTCGAAATCCTGTGTGGTATAGGTCTTGAAATAAGGAAAAAAACGGCCAAATTATTTCCAAGAATTTTCTAAAATAATTTTAAAATCAACTGCATTCAAGTAAGAAAAAATTGTTGACTTATAGATTTTTTTTGTGGATTATGAATTTGAGGCTCTTTTAGTGTAGATCTTGAAATAATAATAAAAAAATGGCGAATTAATTTCCAAAAATTAAAAAAAAAATTAAACTAACTTTTCTAGTTAGAAATATTGTTGGCTTGTAGACAATTTTTCGTAGATTACGAATTTGAAGGAAAAAAAAATTTGAAACAAACGATCAAAGATTTTCAAAAACTAACTCTCTTCGAGTTAGAAAAGAAATATTGACTTATTGAGAATTTTTCGTAAATACGAATTTGAAGTCATTTTTGGTTTTGATGTTGAAATAATCGATAAAAATTTCGGATTATTTTCCAAAGTTTCTAATACAATTTTAGAATATTCGTGTCAAAAAAATGTTGGTTTGTAGAGAATTTTTTGTAAATTCCGCATTTAAAGTGTCGCTAGCGGTACAATCGAGAAAAATTCTAAAAAAAAATTCGTAGATTCCGAATTTATAGCCTGTTTTGGTATAGATCTTTGACTTTATTAAGCTCGAAACCATTCTACCTTCATTATTTTTAGAACAAGGTTTCTGGAGTTTTTCACCGTAGTTGCAGATTTTTTAGGGTTATAAATGGTATAAAAGAACGTTGAGATTTTTCTTCAGGGTACCTTTCATCTCAGAACGCTAACAATTGTAGCACTTCTTTTAAAAATGCATGAACCTGTCCGTTTAAAGCGGTCTAAAAATTGTTCAAGTTTATAATTTTTTTTGTTCAAAACTGCACAGTAGAGATGATTATAAAATATTTTATACTTTTAACATACATTTGTAAAAAAAAAAATATGTGTAAGTCGTCCATGAAACGTTTATAGCATAGCCTATCTTTCTCGGAAGAATTTTTAACTCAACTAACGCCTTGTAAAGAAAAAACTACCATTTCGCATTCACTATTCACATAAATAACTATTTTTATATAAATGAGGTAGAGGTTATTCTCTTAAAAAAAATTCACAGAGTATCGTGTTTTAATTGGGATTTTGTACCGTTCATGAATAAACAAAAAAAATTAATTTGCTCCAGCGGATTGGAACTTTTAATTAATTTTATAACATTGTTTTTCTCTATTTCTGAAATCCAGCGTTGCATAGTAAAATTAAAACTTTTGCATGCAAAATTATCTCGAGGATTTTAATATCTGAAAAATCAATATGTAGTTTACATTGCTCTTTGCATAAGTGAATTTTGTAGGTCGAGGCTAAACATGCTTATACTTATAATAGCATGCAACATAACTTGTTATCAATAAATAACGTTCTCAACTTGGCATTCGACGTTTAATTTATTTAGTCGACGGCGTTGCTTGCACATTTCATATGCAACCAATTTATCAGATTGAGATCTAGTCTAGTTATTAATTATGTTAATATACGCAAATCAGTATTTTAATTTTAATGAACATTTTGAATATAAATAGGTAAATTACAAAAGTTGATTAATGTTTGTAAACATGTGTGAACAATTCTAAACAATAAGTTTATATTACTACGACACAAACAACGTTTCATCTCGAAGCAACTTATGTACAAATATTTATTTGATAAATATTAAGCATGACGTCATTAGTTTTCTGGAGGGGATACATACATGATTTTTAATCATTGCTCTGTATTGACGACTACTAAATTCTTTGCAGGTCCGATGCTTCTCGACGTCCACATGCACCGCCCCCATACCAACTCCCGCAACTACATGGACGCACTCCTTGCTTTCTGGCCCGGCCTCCAAGTCCTCAAGGGCGACCTGAAGCCCGCGGTGGAAACCCACGAGATGCTGTACCAAGTCATGCAACGTCACACCTTCATTCCCGAAGCCTTCACCACCGACTTCCAGGTCCACTGGGGCAACCACCCTCTGCGACCCGAATTTTTAGAATCCACGTACTTCCTCTATGGTGCCACCAACGATCCCTACTACCTGGAAGTAGGAAGAACCGTATTAAATAGTTTACAAAAATATGCACGAGTGCCTTGCGGCTACGCCGCCGTCAACGACGTCAGAACTAGGAAGCAAGAGGACCGAATGGACTCTTTCGTGCTCTCCGAAACGCTGAAATACCTGTATTTGTTGTTCGCGGACAAGGAGGATTTGGTGTTGAACTTGGATGAGTTTATTTTTACGACGGAGGGGCATCTGTTGCCTCTGAGTTTGGCCGGGTATAGCGGAAATAAGACTGTTAGTGATCTGGACGTGGAGGAGGGGGAGTTCGCGAGAACGTGTCCGAATACGTTGCAGTTGTTTCCGGAGACGGTTAGGAAGCCGTTGCAGAATATGGTGGACGGGATGTGTCCGAAGAGGAATTCGAAAAGGAGGCTGACCGCTGCCGAATTTTCGGCGTCTAATATCAACCACTTGAAGATGATCAAGGATATGGGGATTAATATCATTGCGTTGAGTGATGGGAGAGTGCAACTTCTTCATACGTTTTCTTCGGTGAGTAGATGATGATATTAAATATATTTAAAGCGGATAGCCAACGCGAAAAATAGCGGATGTTCAACAAATACTGTTTGAATAGGTAATAAAATTAACTAATTTCGAGAAATGTCACTTTCACCCATGTCAATTTTGACAACAAGTAGTAAAGTGAGGTGACAGTTCTACCAATTTCGATCAAAATTTGTTTATATCAACTGAAACAGTACTCGTTGATAACGCTACATATTATCAGTACATGCTTAAGAATTTTTAAGTTTACATCGAAAGAATTCTACTATTAAGCACGTATGTCAGTTGCAGAATAAGCGGCGGTTTTTTCGTGATCACCTTTATGGAGTAAAAACAATATACAAGGTCACAGTGTAATAGAAAAAAGAAGGTTTCACCTTCTTACAGTGGGGATCCCTGAGAAGGTTTCACATTCTTAAAAAAATTGGTCTAAAGAGTTTAGACAGTACTTCCCTCGCTGTCGGAAACTTGACGACTGCATGCCTATTATGTTTTTTTTTCTCATTACATTTTTGTAGTGGGAATTTAAAAAAAAATTGTGATGACGTCATCAACATTTTTGCAAGGACACGTATATCAGTTGGGATAGATGTAGTGTAATACTAAGAATAAAATTATTGTGTTCCCAAATTTTCGGGAAAATGAATTGGGTCGTTTTGAATATTGATTTCTTATAATCAATAAAATAACGAAACAATTTACTCACGTATACGGCGCCGGTGTATAATATCTAGAGAGCGGATTTCTGTCGGACTAGGCAAGGCCAAACTCGGTACGGCTCGCACGGGATGCGAATTCATTGCCGTTGCGGACTGCACTTCGTTTATTTGAGATTAGAATAACGTTGTTTCGTTGCACTCTGCTGTTAATTCCCGTTCTCATTTACTTAGCCGTTTGATTAATAAATCGTTAATTATATTTATGGAATCCAGCACGTCCCCCCCTATAATCGTGACGTAGCCCGACAGAAATCCGCTGTCTAGTAATATGAGGGGCAACTGAAAATCGTTTATGTATAAACATTATTAATTTAAGATGACAAGCGTAACAGCATACGTAAGAGCCAAACAGAGAAACTGTAAACAAAACGACCATCGGTTTTATTGCTTCGACTTCCGCTTATTATATAAAACATTGCGTTTTATTTTAATTCTTGACGGTGAAATTCACAATTGGTTGATTATAAACATGTCTATTTCGCATTCGCGGAACCAAGTGACCGCATAAAACAAATGCAGGTCTGTAATGTTAAAGTCGATGTAAATAAGCGTGCTACTCTTATGTTTCAACCGAGTTTTTCCTTTAACAAATTTTGTGTCTACCAAATTGGGTTGGTTGGGGTGTAATACTAATAATAAGTGTTGCCTTTAATTTAATCAATAAAATAAATTGACTTCATTAATTTTTTTGAACCACCTCTTAAGAAAATCTAAAAAATATGAATGGAATGATAAATCACAAGTACAAACTCATCATATTTTTTGCATTTTAGATAGGATTTATTCAGCAAAATTTAAGGGTGACGTCATCAATTTTTTTAGGAGGGATGAACAAATACATTTTGAACAAAAGTTTACCATGCTTATAATAACTTTAGAATATTCCCAAGATTTCAAAGCATTCGGTTTTGTAATTCCTGATTAAATCGATAAAATAAATTCACGCCTTCATTAATTTTTTTGAGTCACCCTGCATATGCAAATCCAAAAATATGAATGGAATGATAAATCACAAGTACAGACTCATCATATTTTGTACATTTTAGATACGATTTATTCGGCAAACTTTTGAGCTGACGTCATCAGTTTTTTGTAGAAGATAACCAAATATATTTTGACTAAAAATTTATTATGCTCTTTATAACCTTACAACATCTGCAAGATTTCAAAGCATTCGGTTTTGTAGTTCCTGATTAAATCAATAAAATAAATTTACGCATTCATTAATTTTTTTGAGTCACCCTGTATATGCAAATCGAAAAAATTTGAATGGAATGATAAATCACAAAAAGAGACTCACCATATTTTGTACATTTTAGATAGGATTTATTCAGCAAAATTTTGTGGTGACATCATAAATTTTTTAGGGGGGACGACCAAATACGTTTTCATCAAAAATTTACCATGCTTATGATAATTTTAAAATATCTTCAAGATTTCGAAGCATTCGGTTTTGTAGTTCCTGAGTAAATCAGTAAAATAAATTTACGCTTTCATTTATTTTCTTGAATCACCCTGTATATGCAAATCCAAAAAATATGAATGGAGTGATAGATCACAAGTACAGACTGATCATATTTTGTACATTTTAGATATGATTTATTCCACAAACTTTTGAGCTGACGTCATCAAGTTTTTGGAGGGGATAAGCAAATATTTTTTGACTAAAGATTTATGATGCTCTTTATAGCCTTAAAACATCTGCAAGATTTCAGAGCATTCGGTTTTGTAGTTCCTGATTAAATCAATAAAATATATTTACGCATTCATTAATTTTTTTGAGTCACCCTGTATATGCAAATCCAAAAAATATGAATGGAGTGATAGATCACAAGTACAGACTCATCATATTTTGTACATTTTAGATATGATTTATTCCACAAACTTTTGAGCTGACGTCATCAAGTTTTTGGAGGGGATAAGCAAATATTTTTTTACTAAAGATTTATGATGCTCTTTATAGCCTTAAAACATCTGCAACATTTCAAAGCATTCTGGTTAGCAGATTAAAAATTAAATTTCAAAATATTGTTTTATAATTTTGATTTTTTTTCCAAAAATCTGGACGTTTCGGATGAAAAGTCGATTCAGAGTTGTAAACTACATGTGTAGGACTATGTTATTTTATACAATTGAAGACCCATTTACTATGTACAATTTTGAAGTGACGTCATCGCATTAGTGGTGGGGATGATTAGACAAATTTTGGTTAGCGTTTTACCATCTACATGATATTCTTAATATAAGTACAAAATTTCACAACAATCGGTCGAGTACTTTCGGAGATTATCTGTCTAATAAAAATCCGGGACAACAGACGGACAGACGGACAGACGGACGGACAGACGGACAGACGGACGGACAGACGGACAGACAGACGGAAATGGGAGACCTATTTCTTCGTCTTCTAGGGGTCATGAAAGATCGAGAAAACGTAAAAGTAGAGAGTCGGCCGACGGACTCGATTACAATACTTCCTTTGCTTACGCTCGGGAAGTAAAAAGACAGTTGGGAGTCCCGAGAAGGTTTCACGTTCTAAAAAAAAAGCATTTGGCGCCCCCGAGAAGGTTTTACATTTTTAAAAAATTGGTCTAAAGAGTTTAGACAGTACTTCCCTCGCTGTCGGAAACTTGACGACTGCATGCCTATTGTATTTTTTTTCTCATTACATTTTTGTAGTGGGAATTTAAAAAAAAATGCGATGACGTCATCAACATTTTTGCAAGGACACGTATATCAGTTGGGATAGATGTAGTGTAATACTAAGAATAAAATTATTGTATTCCCAAATTTTCGGGAAAATGAATTGGGTCGTTTTGAATATTGATTTGTTATAATCAATAAAATAACGAAACAATTTACTCACGTATACGGCGCCGGCGTGTAATATGAGAGGGAACTGAAAATCGTGTATGTATAAGCATTCTTAATTTAAGATGACAAGCGTAACAGCATACGTGAGAGTCAAACAGAGAAACTGTAAACAAAACGACCATCGGTTTTATTGCTTCGACTTCCGCTTATTATATAAAACATTGGGTTTTATTTTAATTTTTGACGGTGGAATTCACAATTGGTTGATTATAAACATGTCTATACCACATTCGCGGAACCTAGTCAGCGCACAAAACAAATGCACGTCTGTAATGTTAAAGTAGATGTAAATAAGCGTGTTACCCTTATATTTCAACCGAGTTTTTACTTTAAAAAATTTTGTGTCTACCAAATTGGGTTGGTCCAATGTAATACTAATAATAAGTGTTGCCTTTAATTTGATCAATAAAATAAATTGACTTCATTAATTTTTTTGAGCCACCTCTTAAGAAAATCTAAAAAATATGAATGGAATGATAAATCACAAGTACAAACTCATCATATTTTTTGCATTTTAGATAGGATTTATTCAGCAAAATTTAAGGGTGACATCATCAATTTTTTTAGGAGGGAAGAGCAAATACATTTTGATAAAAAATTTACCATGCTTATGGTAACTTTAAAACATCTCCAAGATTTCAAAGCATTCGGTTTTGTAATTCCTGATTAAATCGATAAAATAAATTCACGCATTCATTAATTTTTTTGAGTCACCCTGTATATGGAAAACGAAAAAATTTGAATGGAATGATAAATCACAAGAAGAGACTCACCATATTTTGTACATTTTAGATAGGATTTATTCAGCAAAATTTTGTGGTGACGTCATAAATTTTTTAGGAGGGACGACCAAATACATTTTGATCAAAAATTTACCATGCTTATGATAATTTTAAAACATCTTCAAGATTTCAAAGCATTCGGTTTTGTAGTTCCTCACTAACGGGCCAATTTTTTGAGTCACCCTGTATATGCAAATCCAAAAAATATGACTGGGGTGATATCTCACAAGTACAGACGCATCATATTTTGTACATTTTAGATAGGATTTATTCGGCAAACTTTTGAGCTGACGTCATCAAGTTTTTGGAGGGGATAAGCAAATATATTTTGACTAAAGATTTATGATGCTCTTTAGAGCCTTAAGACATCTGCAACATTTCAAAACGTTCGGGTTAGCAGATTCAAAATTAAATTGCAAAATGTTGTTATATAATTTTGATTTTTTTTCCAAAAATCTGGACGTTTCGGGTAAAAACTCAATTCGAGGTCGTAAACTACATGTGTAGGACTATGTTATTTTATACAATTTAAGACCCATTTACTATGTACAATTTAGAAGTGACGTCATCGCATTAGTGGTGGGGATGATTAGACAAATTTTGGTTAGCG